GGTCACGGCAAACCAGCCGTGGAATAGCCGATGATTAATATTATTATTCGAAATATTTTCGCGTGAGGAGCCGGCATGCGGTGGATCACCAACCCGCTTCGTCTGCCCCCACCACCGGTGCTGAACCGGCTCCGGCGACTTCCATCGTCCGCTCACCTTCATCGTCATCCGTGCCCACGTCTCCTTCCTTGCGTCTCTCTCCGTGCTCGTGTCTGCCCTTGTCGGCGCCTCTGCGGGCCCTGAGCACGGCGCGGACGGTCGGGTAGAGGAGGAGGAGGCCGGCGGCTCCGGCCACAACGCCGGCCCGACCGGCCGTGCCGGCCCGCTCCCAGTGATGTGCCGCCCGCAGCATTCCCGCCATCCCTAGTTCTCTCCTCACAGCATCGCGGCCAAAGACAGCACCAGGACGACGACGGCGACAGCAGCAGCAGGAGGTGGTGGTGGTGTTGGTAACTGGTAGTGAAAGAGGAGGAGGAGACGTGAGACACCACCCACCTCCTCCTCCACCCCCACCGAGTGTCGTAAGGTCACGAGCACGTGAAGCCGCGCCTCCATCTTGCGTAGGGAACGTGGCCCGTCGCTGGTGGTGGTGCTGGTGGTGGAGAGCGGTGGTGCAGCGAACCACCGCTACGGACCAGGCGGGCCCGAGCTCGAGTCTCCCGCTCACGGCCAACAACCGGTGACGATTTTCTGAACCGGTCCCGGGCCCTCCCGTAGGTCGACTCGGCCTCAAATGAGTTTGCGGCGTGTAAAAACATCGCCACTGGGGAGACAAAGGCGGCCGGGCGGGCGTGTTGCTCACCACCCCCACCCCCCTCGTGTACCGTGCCAACAGCACTTGCCCCGACAGTCTGTCACAGGCTATACGGGGGATCTTTATCTTTGCCCCCCCCCCCCCCCACGTAAGATGGCCACGCCGGCCTCGCGTGTTTACTGGAACATTGCTCGGCTGCTCGTTTGTTGACACTGCCAATGGGGGGGTCGCCGATACTCAACAGATCGTCGTTGCTTTGATGGACGAGCTGGTAGGGGACACATTCGAAAATGACACTGGCCTTAAAAGGAAAATATATAATATGCGACGGTTCGGGCAATGGCCCTTTTATTCTATGGCGACGTTTCGGGAAATGGCCCTTTTTAATAGGAAAAGGGCCATTTCCCGGAATGTCAGAAGGGCCATTAAAGACAGACCACAGTGTTATTGACAAATGTGAGGTGGGGGGGGGGAGTTTGGGGTAGCTTACAGTGTATGAGCTCCGCACAGCCTTTTGTTAATCTGCTGAAAGAGGGCTTCCTTCCCCAAGCAGTGTGGGTTTTGCGGATATGATTTTCCCATGTTGCTCCGTCAACGCGGGCCAGTGCGTGGCATCTAGTACGGTACAACATTGTGGATTTGGTGCTGCACTTGCCCTCTGCTGCCCTCAGCAGGAGACTCGCAGCTGTCAGGCCACGTGAGAGCTGTCATTGCTGCGAGACGTCACAAACGTCGGCAGCCGATATCACGGACGCTATATCTTATCAGTGCCCCCTAACTTATTACAGACCAATTCAGACCTTATTGGTCACCCCCGTGTCGTTATAAATCTCAGCGTTCATCCTACAAAGTCCCATTACAAGGGAGAAACACAAACAAATATACAATCACCACAAGTACACTCACCACTACATACCTGTCAACCCGTCATCAGTGCCCCCTAACTCATTACAGACCAACTCAGACCTTATTGGTCACCCCGTGCCCTTATAAATCTCAGCGTTCATCCTACAAAGTCCCATCACAAGGAAGAAACACAAACAAATATACAATCACCACAAGTACACTCACCACTACATACCTGTCAACCCGTCATCAGTGCCCCCTAACTTATTACAGACCAAATCAGACCTTATTGGTCACCCCCGTGTCGTTATAAATCTCAGCGTTCAGCCTACAAAGTCCCATCACAAGGGAGAAACACAAACAAATATACAATCACCACAAGTACACTCACCACTACATACCTGTCAACCCGTCATCAGTGCCCCCTAACTTATTACAGACCAACTTAGATCTTATTGGTCACCCCCGTGCCCTTATAAATCTCAACGTTCAGCCTACAGAGTCCCATCACAAGGGAGAATGCTGAAAACTCGATTTGCCTCTACAAGACTACGGGGTAATAAACCGTGCTGGGTTGACGCGGTGTGTGTGTGTACTGTATGTGGAACTTCTTTCGCACCGTACGTAGCCAACCGTGCTTGAGATCTGTCCTTGATAACGAGCTGTGTGCAATGGCAAATGCCCTCCTCATTTGAATTTCCTCCCGTGGAAATTCTACTTTTCCTCCCAGCTATTACCGCATTAACCTTTCTCAATTCGAGAAACGCGTTACACTCAATAGCAACGTTGTACGGCTCTCCAATGTGTAACACCCCGGCTTGATGGAGGGGCCTAGGAACCAAGGGCGTAGCCGTGGGGTCAACATTGGGGGGATGGGGGTGACCAAAAATTCCAGGGGGTCTGGGGGTCCCCCCCCCTCCACCACCCAGAAAAAAAATCTAAATTTTAAAACAAATTTCCTGCCATTTCCTGCCTTAAATATAAAAAAAAATTCACGAACATATAGGACGGACTTTTTATATATTTTTTTTACAATAATGTCTACCGTAATAGTTAATTGTATTGCATTGCTGTGTTTTTTTTTTTACCAATTCTTGTTTCATTGTATGTAATGGCAGAGACTAGCCATAACCACAATCGTATAAACATAAATCTATTTTATAGCAATATATTGGGGGGAGGGGGGGGGGACATTTTGAAAATAGTTGAACATCTCCCAATATCTGTCTTTCCATATTAAAGTTAAATCTTTAACAGAGATGTATTTTGGGGATGTGTCCCCCCCAATATATATTATAATTACGGCCTTAGTAGGAACAAATCCACGTTATAACCGTGGATTGTTCCGCCCTGTTGTCTGCTGCGTCGTGATTCACAAGGCTCAGATGATTGTACATTCATCAGTCTAAAAATAATTCTCTCTCGAGCCGACTTACGCAATAGCCAGAGGATTCATTATTTAACACCGGCTTATGCTTGTGCAATATTTCCGATTTCTGGCGTGACGGCGCTGCTGTGTGTTGTTGTTGTTTTTCCATTTGCTTCGTGGCTCTGCAAGTACGGCACTTGTTTATTTTATTAGGTTTTTTGCAACTTAAGTGACCCGAGGTGACCCTCGCAAACGAGGCAGGCTGCTGTCCTTGGTCTCTCGACTGCTCGCCTTGTGTTTAAGAATTAAATATTGTTAAGAATATAAACAAATATTATGTTAGTCGATGCGTGCGTATCTGCGCCTCCTCGTCGGAGCCTTAATCGGCGTCTGTTTTTATAATCAAAATAAAATAAAAGTTATCTTGATGTGACGTCTTCGTCCCTCCCAATTGTGTTTACATTTTACAAACGGTCGATGTCGTCGTGCGATGACGTCATCCTCGGCGTGAGCTTCCAATGCGGCGATTACGTCACTGTCGCGTGTTTTTACACCGCAGGGCGGTTTAAAGTCGTAACGCGATTGCGTCATTACTTCATTAGACGTCGCTCCGCGGCACGTCATTCAATTGTTCCGTGACGTCACTCTATTACGTCACCAGAGGAGGGTGCCGGTTGCGACGCGCGCTGCGACTTTGTGTGATGGCGTCACAGGTAATCATTGCCACGTGCATCAACAAAAAACAATCATCATTGGTGTGTGGCATAAAATAACGAAATCAATCAGCAGGCGAATTCGCCTCGCCTCCCAATATCTGTCTTTCCATATTAAAGTTAAATCTTTAACAGAGATGTATTTTGGTTAGTTCGCAACAGAAAGATTTCTCCACAATTCTGGCTGTCGCCTGATGATGCTGGTTGTTGTAATTACCAGTGAAACGTCGGACTCGAATTGTAAACGTTGTGGGTTCACTCTCCAACACACCGGTGTGCTGAACTAGTAACTAATTGGCACGTTTTGTTGTCGTGGCAAGCCTTACTGAATGGCTGTGTCGGGTGGTGGCGGGTTTCACGACACATTTACATTTACGCGAACTAACCACAAAAAAACCCTTCTATTCCTATTGTTAACACATCCCCATCAGTCACAAAAAACAATCATTAAGTGTCGAACAGGACACGGCCACCTGAGCCAATTGTTGATGACATTCCGCAGCTATAATTCTCCACAACGGCGCTCGTGATCGTTGCGTGTCAATGTGCGAGCAAGGTGTTGCGTCCAACGAGGACCCGACCAACCCAAATGTGACACCATTCAACTGAAGTTCTTGTGACGTCATTTTACAAGAACAACTGCAACGAAGACCCCACCAACCCAAATGTGACGTCATCCAACTGAAATTCTTGTGACGTCACTTTACAACTTCACCTGCTACGAGGGCCCCACCAAACCAAGTGTGACGCCATTCAACTGAAGTTCTTGTGACGTAATTTTACAACTACAACTGCAACGAGGACCCACCAACCCAAATTTGACGTCATCCAACTGAAATTATTGTGACGTCACTTTACAACTTCACCTGCAACGAGGACCCACCAAACCAAGTGTGACGCCATCCAACTGAATTATTTTGTGACGTAATTTTACAACTGCAACGAGGACCCCACTTAACCAAGTGTGACGCCATCCAACTGAAATTCTTGTCACGTAATTTTACAACTGCAACGAGAACCCCCACCAAACCAAGTGTGACGCCATCCAATTGAAGTTCTTGTGACGTCATTTTACAACTACTCCTACAACGAGAACCCCACCAAACCAAGTGTGACGCCATCCAATTGAAGTGATTGTGACGTCATTCCACAACTACTCCTGCAACGAGGACACCACCAAACCAAATGTGACGCCATCCAACTGAAGTTTTTTGTGACGTAATTTTACAACCCTTGCAACGACGACCCCACATAACCAAGTGTGACGCCATTGAACTGAATTTACGGTGACGTCATTTTACAACTGCAACTGCGATGACGCCACAATTCACAGGTGCCGGGGTGGGGGGTGGGGATGGTGATGGGGCCAGGGTGTGGGAGCCAGGAGCAGAAGACAGCGGCGGTGCGAGCAACAGCTCCCTTCTGAGCACCCCCCGACGCCTCGCGGAGTCCGCAGAGACAGCCAAAGAGAGGCCCGGGCAGGGGGAGGCAGAGGGAGAGAGGAGCTGGGGGGATGAGAGAAGAGAGAGCGAGAGTGCTGATGTGGCGCGCACTGTAGTACAGTGCGCGCGGCCTGACACCCTCGTTACTTTGCGTTACCCCGGGGTGCAGTTTATTCTGAGCCCGCGTTACTCCCGGGCCCCGTTACCTCAGGTCGACGTTCGCACCCCCCCCCACCACCGGGACCGTTACGACTGAGTCATGTCGAGCGACGGGAGCGACGCCGAGGACGACCCCGTGGAGAGGGAGCAGCAGGTGAGGCCCTGCACTCCCCTCCTCGACAAACTCTCCCGTGACGGACTCCACCGGCTCCCAGTCCAGACCCAGATTACTTATCATGATGGACTCACACGTGTCTGCCTGTCCCCTCTCACCTCACTACTCACCTCCACTCACTCTCCTACCTCTCATCTCTCATCTATACTCACTCTCCCCTCTCATCTCACTCCACTCACTCTCCCCTCTCATCTCACTCCACACACTCTCCCCTCTCATCTCACTCCACTCACTCTCCCCTCTCATCTCACTCCACTCACTCTCATCTCACTCCACTCACTCTCCCCTCTCATCTCACTCCACTCACTCTCCCCTCTCATCTCACTCCACACACTCTCCCCTCTCATCTCACTCCACTCACTCTCCCCTCTCATCTCACTCCACTCACTCTCCCCTCTCATCTCACTCCACTCACTCTCCCCTCTCATCTCACTCCACTCACTCTCCCCTCTCATCTCACTCCACTCACTCTCCCCTCTCATCTCACTCCACTCACTCTCCCCTTTCATCTCACTCCACACACTCTCATCTCACTCCACTCACTCTCCCCTCTCATCTCACTCCACTCACTCTCCCCTCTCATCTCACGCCACTCACTCTCCCCTCTCATCTCACTCCACTCACTCTCCCCTCTCATCTCACTCCACTCACTCTCCCCTCTCATCTCACTCCACTCACTCTCCCCTCTCATCTCACTCCACACACTCTCCCCTCTCATCTCACTCCACTCACTCTCCCCTCTCATCTCACTCCACTCACTCTCCCCTCTCATCTCACTCCACTCACTCTCCCCTCTCATCTCACTCCACTCACTCTCCCCTCTCATCTCACTCCACTCACTCTCCCCTCTCATCTCACTCCACTCACTCTCCCCTTTCATCTCACTCCACACACTCTCATCTCACTCCACTCACTCTCCCCTCTCATCTCACTCCACTCACTCTCCCCTCTCATCTCACTCCACTCACTCTCCCCTCTCATCTCACTCCACTCACTCTCCCCTCTCATCTCACTCCACTCACTCTCCCCTCTCATCTCACTCCACTCACTCTCCCCTCTCATCTCACTCCACACACTCTCCCCTCTCATCTCACTCCACTCACTCTCCCCTCTCATCTCACTCCACTCACTCTCCCCTCTCATCTCACTCCACTCACTCTCCCCTGTCATCTCACTCCACTCACTCTCCCCTCTCATCTCACTCCACTCACTCTCCCCTCTCATCTCACTCCACTCACTCTCCCCTCTCATCTCACTCCACTCACTCTCCCCTCTCATCTCACTCCACTCACTCTCCCCTCTCATCTCACTCCACTCACTCTCCCCTCTCATCTCACTCCACTCACTCTCCCCTCTCATTTCACTCCACTCACTGTCCCCTTTCATCTCACTCCACTCACTCTCCCCTCTCATCTCACTCCACACACTCTCCCCTCATCTCACTCCACTCACTCTCCCCTCTCATCTCACTCCACTAACTCTCACCTCTCATCTCACTCCACACACTCTCCCCTCTCATCTCACTCCACTCACTCTCCCCTCTCATCTCACTCCACTCACTCCCCTCTCATTTCACTCCACTCACTCTCCCCTCTCATCTCACTCCACTCACTCTCCCCTCTCATCTCACTCCACTCTACCCTCTCATTTCACTCCACACACTCTCCCCTCTCATCTCACTCCACTCACTCTCCCCTCTCATCTCACTCCACTCACTCTCCCCTCTCATCTCACTCCACTCACTCTCCCCTCTCATCTCACCCACACACTCTCCCCTCTCATCTCACTCCACACACTCTCCCCTCTCATCTTACTCCACACACTCTCCCCTCTCATCTCACTCCACTCACTCTCCCCTCTCATTTCACTCCACACACTCTCCCCTCTCGTCTCACTCCACGCACTCTCCCCTCTCATCTCACTCCACTCACTCTCCCCTCTCATCTCACTGCACTCACTCTCCCCTCTCATCTCACTACACTCACTCTCCCGTCTCATCTCACTCCACTCACTCTCCCCTCTCATCTCACTCCACGCACTCTCCCCTCTCATCTCACTCCACTCACTCTCCCCTCTCATCTCACTCCACTCACTCTCCCCTCTCATCTCACTCCACTCACTCTCCCCTCTCATCTCACTACACTCACTCTCCCCTCTCATCTCACTCCACTCACTCTCCCCTCTCATCTCACTCCACGCACTCTCCCCTCTCATCTCACTCCACTCACTCTCCCCTCTCATCTCACTCCACTCACTCTCCCCTCTCATCTCACTCCACACACTCTCCCCTCTCATCTCACTCCACTCACTCTCCCCTCATCTCACTCCACTCACTCTCCCCTCTCATCTCACTCCACTCACTCTCCCCTCTCATCTCACTCCACTCACTCTCCCCTCTCATCTCACTCCACTCACTCTCCCCTCTCATCTCACTCCACTCACTCCCCCCTCTCATCTCACTCTACTCCCCTCCACGCACTCACCCCCTACTATCTCACTCCACACACCCCTAACCTCCTCTCATCTCCCTCTGCTCCCCTCAACCCTCCGCACCAGCAATCGAAGACGTATTTTGAAGCACAAAGTCACCCTTTGCCCAGTGGGGGTTCACGAATTCTCTGCTGCCGACATCATTTGGAACTCCCTTCCAACAGCCGTCTGTGCGGTTCAGATCCCAGGCTCGCATCCTTCCTCTGTTTATCTGCCAATAACCGACTGCCACTTGCTGGATTTACAGCAAATGTGCCCACTGCCGTTTCTGTTCATCGTCTTGAGAAGGGGTCGCATTAGGACGCATAAATACATCCACATTGTATTATGATATATTATATTCAGGGTGTAGTACACTGGGTGAAATGTGGCACATCAAGTTGGGGGTGTGTGTGTGTGCCGGGGATGTGGGTTCCTACGTTTTAACTATAGAGCTTGAGTTACATGGGAAGGGGTGGTAAATGCAAACCTGTCAACCCATACGGTTTAATCCGTATTCTTGTACAGGGAAATTGAGTTTTCAGATCCATACGGCGTACATCCGTTTCAATACGGGCAAAAAACAATATTTCGTTTGTGTTTCTCCCTTGTTGATGGATGAACGTTGATATTTATAAGGGCGCGGGGTGACCAATAAGGTCTGAATTGGTCTGTAATAAAGTCGGCACCGATAAGGGGTTGACAGGAATGTAAATGGTTATACAGTACGTGACAATGTACGTGTGCGTATAGTGCCAAGCATATTACGATTGTGTGTGTGGGAAAATGCACACGTGCTATTGGAATGCCCAGGCAAGTCGTGTGTGCACGGAGAGTTAAATACTTTTTTTGTTTTGTTTCAGATAGTCGCATTATATTTGGCATGGGTATGTATACAGCGTAACAATAATAATGTATAGTCCTTTATCAATCAACTGCTGGATAATGAATGGTCTCCCCACGCCTTTTCGGTCGAAGGGGGGTGATAGACCTTACGTGAACGGGCTGGTCGGTTCAGCTTGATGAAGGACGGAGGACTGGTACCGGTTCTGATATCACCCGCAACTAATCATCGTGCCACCCTCCTACAATAGCAATGGAGATTCAAATTTTAGCAAACCTTAATTTACGTGGAAAGTTTTTGTTGCAATTTGCATGAGGAATGTTGTGTTTCTCTCATGAAAAAGTCTTGTACTATGAACCCCAGCTACTCGAGTTTGATTCCTGGCCTCTGTTAACATCAGTGGCGCATGATATCTGAACCTGTCCTGGAAGCCCCCATCCGTTACCAGCGTACACTGACCAGAATGGCGAGGTATGGTCAAACAAGCCCCATAACCAACACAGCGTGTGGAGAGGCCTTTACTCAGCAGTGAATTGACAAATGACTTTTACATTGCACAGCACGTTGTTGGCAGTGATGCACAAGAACAAATGAAAAATAATGCGATGGCTTATTTTTTTGCATTTGTGCAACAAATCACCTTTACAATGGAAATGTCAGCTGAATATGCACTAAAGTAAAGGGTGGATGTATGTATCATCTCAACGTGACTGCATCTCAAGGCCCTGGAGAGGAATTAAATCGTCATATTAATTTCATAGAGAGGTGGTCGGCCACTTGTAGGCAGAGTAAAAAAAAGGAATGCGTTGAGTGGACTTATAGACAACACGGTCTAATGGGGGAAGTGAGTTCCAGATAATGGAGGCAGCAGAGCAGAATGAGCGATCTCCCACTGAGCGAAGGTTCACTGGGGGTTTTGACAGAAAGCCTTGGCTCCTTGTAGAGTACTTGAAGGGGAATATCTCGAGTGAGATGAGAGGGGAGAGGTAGGACGGCACGTGGAGTAGCATGGAGTAAGATGAGGTGAGAGAGGTAGGAGAGTGCATGTAGGGGAGTAGAATAAGATGAGAGGGGCGAGAGGTTGGCACTGAGTGATCAGCATGGATGACTGGGATAAAGAATTCCAGACTGTGGGAGACAGCAGATGAGAAACAGCAACCTCCCACTGAGCAAGGGTTTTAACTATGTGTGTGATGCAAGCAATACATGCCCATGTTTGTTTGTGTGCTCCTGTGCCACCCAGGGTTACATGGAACCGCCCCCTACCCCCTCTGGAAGCAACGATTGGGCTGGATGTTCTCATCGGCATTTGCACGGGAACGCTGACGAGTATGATGCTGACAGTGCTGGTTTGTAACCCCGGATTGTTATCTGCACTTCCTCTGACCTCTTGTGACTGTACGACGGTATGTGTGCAAGTTGGCATAGTGAGAAGCACTAGCGGTGCATCTGCTAGTCATCTCAATAAATTAATCTTTGACACCTCGGTCTGTCCTGTGACTTCCTGCCTTTCACACTGTATGTGGCCTCAAATGCACCTATCCTGGAAAAACCGCTGTGGTGATGTCGCCATCACTTCGTGGAGAATGGCAGCAGTTGTTGCTGTTGTGTGTCTATTTGTGTGTTTGTGAGGCTGTGTGTATAAAATGGGGAGTGGTCGCATACTGGTTAGCCGCTCTGCGCTACGAATCCAGCGATTCGAGTTCGATTCTGCTCACAGCCAACACCATTGCTGATCTGAACCAGTCCTGGGCCTCGACTAGGTCGAATGAGTACCTGGTACGATGTGTAAACATCGCTACTGGGGAGACAAAGGTGGCCTGGAGTGGTATTTGCTACCCGCCCCCTTGTGTGCCGTGCCGGCCTTCATAGGTGTTCGCAACAGCACTTGCCCCAACATTATGTTAAAGGCTATAGAGTGTCCTTGTATTTTGTGTGAATATGGTGAGTGTGAGTGCAGTGGGTAGCACTGCGCTACAGACCCAGTGACCCGAGTTCAATTCCCAACCACAGCTAACATCGGCATTAAACATTTGAACCGGTCATGAGGCTCTGCTAGTTCGACTCGGTCTCAAATGAGTACTTTGCGCGGTGTCCAAAACATCGGCACAGAGGAGACGAATGCAGTCATGTGTGACGATGGCCACACCACAAACATGGGGGGACCTTTGTCTTCGCGCACCCTAGTCATGGCGCTGTGGGAAGGCAAGCAGGCGATGCGGCACACTCGGCCTGTGCTGCCCGACACGGTGACGGAGCTACACACGGCGGACGGTGGGCGCGTGTTCCTGGTCGGCACGGCGCACTTCAGTGACAGCAGCAAGGAGGACGTCGCCACGGTAACGTGAAATCGCCTCCCCTCTCAAGTTTTAGTCCAGTTACCCGGTAGCTCCACGAAATTATAGTTTTCTTTGGACATTAGTCGTGACATTAACCCAGGAAAACCTCACCTATTTTTTTAGCCAGGCGGCGGTGGTGGCGGCGCACACCTGTAATCCAGCACTGTGGTTGCCGAGAGTCGGTGGATCACAAGCTAGAGAGCCTGGGACAGTTTTTAGCGCCCGCTCACCGTGTGACTGTCTGCCCACTCGTCTGTGGTTCCTTGCACTTGAGTCGTTCTCAAGAGTGAGTGAATACCATGCACGTTGTAAGTTTACATTCGTGTTAAATTTTTTATGAGTCTCAAGACTTTTTGTTGATGAGGGTCCTGCTAGGTTTCACAGTAGGAGATTTATGCTGCCGTGTATTTCCCCATTGAGTTGAACATTTAACGTGGCTAAACTTCAGCCCTAACATTTTTTTAAATATTGGTTTTGCTTTCTTGTAATATTGCGAAGGTTATTTCTCTCTGTAGCAGGGTGTGTGGTAATGTACTTTCCCTTTACCCTTTCCCTTAGTTTTGTAGATAAAAATGGTCAATTGAATGGATTTCAGAAGTGGTTATACGATTTCTACTTTCGTGGGCTCTTTGGTAACACGAGTGGCACACTGCTGTGTGAGAGTTCCAAATGGATACTTTGAGTCTTGACATGATGCCAATAATACAATTGAAATAATTGGGAGACAAAAATATAAATCTATTAAAAAAACATCCTGAATATATACAAATTCAGTAGCCATCACCAATGAACTTTGTGCTTTGCAGTATGTTTTCCAGAGGAAATGACAGCAGGGCTGTTGTGCTGTAATTAATTTCGTTGTTTACTCATTACTTTTGTGCAAGGGACAGCATCACTGAAATAAGTGCAGTCAATGGACTTTTAAGTAACCTTCATTTGTACTGGAAGTGCAGCAAAGCAGACCATTGATGCAACAAAATTGTGAAATGCAATTACATCATTTTGGGAAACTGATCTTGCGCTAAACGTCACATCATGAACTTTAATCCTGTATCGTGTTGTGAAAAACGATATCGTGGCCACCCTATTGAGAAGCTGTGAAGTGAAAGTTCAGACCCCAGGGGGCGTTACGATGTCAGCCGAGCATTGTGTGAGTTGAAGATACCAGGATACGTCGGCAAGAAAGGCGAATCTTGCAGCTTTATTATCAGCAGCGCTCGGGCGCCAGTAACACCTGAGCACATTCCATGGAGCCGGGGGGGGCGGGGGGATGGCAAGACTCACAGTGGCATATCTCGGCCACACTGGGTGACCGTTTCCGTCGGCGATTGTGGTGGCACGGCGCAGACGATTCGCGCGGTGCAGCCGGACGTGGTGCTGGTTGAGCTGTGCCAGTACCGCGTGTCCATGCTGAAGCTGGATGAGACGACGCTGCTGCGGGAGGCTCGCGAGCTCAGCCTTGACAAGCTGCAGCAGGCCATCAAGCAGGTGCCCGACTCCTCACCTGCACCTGTAAATGAAGCCTCCGATCGCCCCCCACAGGCTCCTCATCCGATCCCATCACAATTTACACCCCTCCACACACTATCCTACCTTTCCCACCTCTTGTCTTTCTCTTCAACCCTCCACACAGTCTCCTATGTGAATGTTTGTGGAATGTCTGTGGGTAACGTCAGTGCGGAACTCAACATTAGAGGGAAATAATTTATGAACCTGTCCTGTGCCTCCCCAAGGGCAACTAGGCCTTAAATTAGTACCTGATGCGCTGTGTAAACATTACCACTCCGGATACACAGATGGGCTGCGTGTATTTTTGGCCACACCAGCCCCGCTTATATGCCATGGCAGTCTTATGTGCTTGGTAACACACTTGCCCCAATACTTAGTATGTCTATATGGAGAATATTTACCTTTGTGTGTGTGTATGTGTGTGTTTGTGGGCATGCAGAACGGCCTTATGTCAGGGCTGATGCAGATGTTGCTGCTGAAGGTGTCGGCTCACATCACGGAGCAGCTGGGCATGGCACCCGGAGGGGAGTTCCGCACAGCTTACCAGGAGGTAGCTGCCCTACCGCTGCTGTGTGTACGCAGTGTGCATCACTACATGTGACATTGAACTGGTGGAGCACCGTCTCAAGTTTGTAAGCGTTTGTGCAGTGTGTGTGTATATATGCATGCATGCGTATGCTAGTGTGTGGAGCGTTATTGTAGTGGTTGGCATACTGCGTTATAAACCCGGCCACCAGAGTTGAATTCCTGCTTACAACCAACACCAGTGAGGATTATCTGAACTTGTTCTTAAATGAGTACCTGGTGCCATCTGTAAGAAAATGTCAGCATTGTGGATACAAAGGTGGCCCGTCATGGTGTTGGTCACCCACCTCTTAGTGTACAGTGCCAGTCTTTATGTGCTCGCTAGCAGCACTTGCCCCAACAATCTGTTAAAGGCTTTACTGGGGATCTTTGTCTTTGCTCCACCCTCTCCTCCACCGTGCCAGCCTTAATAGGTGCTCGCTAATGGAAATTTGCTCCAACAGTCTGGTAATGGTTGTTTGCTAACACGCCTGTGTGTGTACCTGCCAGGTATCTCAGTTAGCCAATATTAGTTGGGTCTCTCCCGAGACCTTCCAGCGAGCCTTCACACTTCACTGGGCCTCAAAGTGCACTTAACATAAAGGCTAGTAGTGTGCACACGCATGTGTGCTCTTGTGCATGGATACGCACACAACGGCAGTGTAGTGGTTAGTGCACTGCGCTACGACCCTGGCAACCCAAGTTCAATTTCCGCACACGACCAATAACAGCGGCAATTTTGTTTTGCCTATTTTGGGCCTCCCGTAGGTCGACTCAGCAGCCTGAAATGAGTACCTGGTGCAGTGTGTAAACATCAGCATTGAGGAGACAAAGGCGGCTGGCGCGTGCCGTTGGCCACCTTCACAGATGCTCGCTAACGGCGCTTGCCCCGACATTTTGTTATAGGCTACACGGTTTAATCTTTTGTCTTTTTCCGTTGTGTGCACCAGGCCGGGCACGTGCCCCTGTGCCGATTCCAGCTGGGAGACCGCCCCATCCCCATCACCTTCAAGAGAGCCATTGCAGCGCTGTCGCTCTGGCAGAAGCTCAAGCTCACATGGGGGCTAGTCTTCATGTCCGACCCCATCAGGTAGGGCCCTGTGTGTGCAGGTGCGTCTAGTTGGCAGGTGTATGGGACTTTTAGTCGGCATGTTGTTGTGTAGCAGAGAAGTCTGTGGTTACCGGGTGCTTAAGTAAGGACGGTTGACAAGGTTTTTTATGATGTGTTATTGTTATGATCTTGTTTATTTACCCAGGAATGCCTCACTGAGTCTCAGGACTTTTTCAAGAGGATCTTGCCATGTCTTTTTTCAGTCGGGGGACAATGTTGCTTTGCATAATCAAACTGAGTAAAATGTCCATGCCACATCCTCGAGCGCCATACCCTACCTTAGTAGGTGCGCGCTAACGGCACTTGCTCCAGCAGCTGGAATGCAGTTGTGTGTGTGTGTGGTTCGCAGCTTTTAGGATTGCTGTGATATAATCGTTTGAGACACGATACAAAATAAAATATCACGATACAATAATTATCACAATATTTATTTTCCATAACTTTGTAGTTATTGCACAATTTCATTGAATCGTATTTGTACTTTGCTGTTGCTTGCATGAAGAATCCCTTACGTTCTGCAACTGCAGTTCACGCAGCTTAAGTCTGCCTGCCATGTGTATTTTATTCATTGCAATAACGTTTATAATCCACAAGCTTTTAAAACAATGACGTCATTACCATGCCAAAAATTATTCCGAAAAGCATTAGTTTCATGGATTATAGCTATTTACTTTGACATTTTTTTCTGATTTTGACATTAAAAAAACAATTTGTAAAGAAATTAAATATTTGAAGAAAATTCAAGGATCATTGCGATTATTAGCAGATCAGACGATACAATTTTTGTTTACCCTAGTGCTTAGTAAGTGGCACACCATGTCGTGTGCATGCAGTTAATAAGTGGTACACCTGCTTAGTAAATGTGTATATGTGTGGTTAGTAAGGAGGGTGTGGGGTTAGTACGTGATGGCTGTGGGTTTGACATTTTGTGTGGGTCGTGTGCATGTGGTTATTAATAGTGCGTGTGGTTAGTGTACGTATGGCTAGTAAGGGGGTTGTGTGGTTGGTAAGTTTTCGCGTGTGGTCAGTAAGGAGGACGTGGAGCGGTGCAAGCAGAAGGATCTGCTTGAGCAGACGATGGCGGAGATGATCGGGGAGTTCCCAGACCTTCACCGCACCATCGTGTCGGAGCGCGACATTTACCTGGCATACACTTTACGGCAGGCGGCGCGGCCACTGCGGCCCCCGCACTCGCGGCACGCCGGTACCCGCCACCCCCTCACTCCCCCCGCTCCACCCCGCGCACATGCGGAAAGACATCCACAGTCGCATCGCCGCTCACTGAACTGATTCACAGCCACATTACCAACTTGTGTGTGTTGAAGGAGCGGTAGTGTAGCGCTTAGCGCGCTGCGCTACGAACCCAGCGACCTGAGTTTGATTCCTTCTCACGGCCAACACCGGTGACGACTATCTGAACTGGTCCTGGGCTTCCCCTAGGTCGACTCGACCTCAAATGAGTCCCTGGTGCAGTGTGTAAATATCACCACTGGGGAGACATAGATGCTCACTAACAGCACTTGCCCCAACAGTCTGTTAAAGGCTATACGGGGGCTCTTTGTCTTTGTTTGTGACAGCACCAGTACCGGCGGTGGTGGTGGGCGTGGTGGGGATTGGCCACGTCCCCGGCATTGAGAAAAACTGGGACCTCCCCCTGGACATCCAAGCTGTCGTCAGGTGATCACGTGGAGATGCACGGTTGCATAGGAGGCCTGCACTGCTCCTCTGATGCGAGAAGTTTTGGCAGCCACTGAGCACTTATTCTCCTGTCCACTGTCCCCCCCTACCCCCCCCCCCCGAGATTCAAAAGATTGTTATGATTTGAGGTTACAATTCACGTAAAGAATAGATTGTGTTTATTTGGAATATTTAGCTGCCTTGATTGTATTCTCAGTCTTTGTGTCATTTGTACAGTTTTTACTCCAAACATTAGCATAATTGTCACAGCATGCAATTTACATACACACATCATTCGGTTGCATAACTCACAAATTGACTCTCAAGCGTGTGATGTTGTGTATGTACTGTGAGCATAAGAATCAAATTTAAGAAGTGAATCGATCCATTGGTCCCAATAACTCAGGCGCATAGTGAAGAAGGAGAGTGTGAACGCCGTGCTCCGCACACGCGCGTATTTGTGGGGAATGGCAATTTCGTGGTTAGCGCTCTGCACTATGAATCCAACCACCTGAGTTTGATTCCCGTTCACGACCAATAACAGTGGCAAATATTTGAACCGATCCTCGGCCTCCCTTAGGTCGAGTCACCCTTAAAAGAGTGCCTATTGCGGCGTGTAAACATGAGCACTAGGGCGGTTGGGTGCGGTGCTGGCTACCCCACCCCCTCGTGTGCAGTATCGGCCTTCATAAGTGTCAGCTAACAGCACTTGCTCCTACAGTATGTTAAGGCTATATATGGGGGATCGTTGTCTTTGTCTCAGGATACCTCCGCCAACGCGCACTGCCCGCGCGGTGAGGCTGATCCTGAAGGCCACTGTGCTGGGTCTGGCTGGATACGGCTGCTTCCGCCTGGGCCGCTGGGGCGGCCGCTGGGGCGTGCGGATCCTTCGCTGGTGACCGGGCCACACACCTTTCCCACGGTCTCTTCTTCCTCGCAAACACCAACGTCCCCCAACATCGGGATGCCGCCTTACAGAGGGCGAGAGACGGGAGACGCAGCAGCTCTCTGGTGGTTGGGTGGCTGGCATCCTGGCAGGCGCCGGTCTCGCGTCAGCCTTGCTGCTGCTGAACACTTGGCACTTGCATGAGACTGCGTGCGCTTAGGCAGAGGGGTTAGCGCTTCCTGGCGCTGATTGAGGGGACAGATGCACCTGAAAAACCATGTGCAATTTGTATCTGCAGTTTTTTTTTCGCCGTAAGCCCTCGCGACAGCACGAGCGAGTGTCTGTGGGGAGCGAGCGTTACGTTGTCAAAAGCTGTTGTCACGATTGTTTAGCTGCACACCGCACCGTGTGAAGGCTCTGCTGCTCTCTACACGATTACGAGTTGGTAATAAAAATGACTTTTACAGACGTGGCCTTGTGGTGTGCGTGATGCTCGCGCCCTTCCCTCCGTTGCCTCTCGGCAACACCCCTTAAACCGCATCCAGGGCCTGCACTGGCCTCCACTTGGTGCCGCTTTTCAGGCCACTGAGGCCATGTGCCATGGTGTTCAGCGTGACCGCATGCCCTGTCCGTATTTGTTTTTAGTCATACAGTTTGTCTGCTTTTTAAACACCAATGTTAAGGTATGCTAGCCACGAGATGGTTTTAGGAGAGAGTTCACTTAGTTTTGCTCCGTTGAAGGAGCACACACTAACAGTGGATTTATTATATGGTCCATAGGTTGGGCTGCATGGCCATAATCTCCCTAATCATGTTCTAATTGTGATTTCAATGACATGAGACAAGGAAAAGCTTACATTTGGAACCCTGGGAGATAGCAATGCAGAAAATAGTCCCAGAAGACGATGTGATGTTAATGCTTCTGTGTAGTCACTTCACCGGGCCTTTATCCCTACTCGGGGTGCAGAATTTTCCTTTTCATATGCTCAGCAAACGTGTTACATTGTCAGATAAAGCCATGTTTTGTAATTGGAGCTGGAGTAAGCCAAATAATGGTTAAAAAAACCGAATTTGTTTCTTTTAGTAGTGTCACATTTTGTACTGTTCCCTATGTGTTGTCTTGTCAACTGACTGGCCACTTAGTCTCTTTTGTCTGCACTGCTCTGTTGTAAATTTGCGCTGTATTCGTACAATGGCACAGCTGTTGTCCAATCACTTTTGTACTGGTTTGTATTATCTAATGAGTACTGTATTGTCGTCCTTAATTTGTCCGTGCTGTGGTTTTTTTTTCTGCCCCGGTTTGTCCATCTCATTCTGCCTCCCATTGCACTGCTATCCCCCTGGGCCACGTCGGCGTGAATATGAACACAGAAATACGACATCGTCGTATAATTTTCATTGCGATTTCCACAATGATAATCGATTTGTTGGCAAATGAATCAATGCGAGTTTCGTTTGGGTCAGGAATCAAGTTTAATCGATGCATCGTTGCAGCGCTAGGTAATTCACATATGTCACAATCACGACTTCTGAGCACGTACACGCTTGAGACTCCTAGGTCGTGTGGGAGAAAGTAGTCGCCTAGAATCTGACGTAATTGTAAACTATGTTTAACCACAATAAAGCCTCGAGATTCAAGTCTCATTTCCAAGCAGAGTCCTGCCACAGATTGCAGGCGTCTCATTATTTCCACGTGAAACCAACAAGGCCAGCGAAAACGTCCCGAGGCGTTGAGGTTTGATTGATGTCTGGATATGCGTTGGTCACACGGGGCCATTGTGTGGTGTGTAAATAAAAAATATATATAATGAAATGTCGAGCCGTTTATCAATCCACTGCATAACTCAATGGTGGCAGGAAGCCCAGGACTTTGATTCAGACCACCTTGCGTCGCTACAAATCGGTTGCAACTGTGCAATTGGGCGGCGCCAGCTCGCTCGATTGCCCTGCAACAGGCCGGGCGTATTGTTCTGGCGGTTGCCTGCGGCTGAATTGGGCTTTGTGTGTGTTTGCGTGTGTCCCCAACAAATACAAATCCCTTGCGTATCGTCCCTTATAGTGGCGTCTTGAGCGTGGAATTAAATACCGGGACATCTATCGAAAAAAGAGCACCATATGGGGCCGTCCATAAATGACGTCACGCGATTTTGGACGATTTTTTTACCCCCTTTTTCGTCACACAGGTCAGACCCCCCCCCCCTCAAATATGACGTCACAAAGCTCTGCCCCCCCCCCAAAAAAAATAAAACACGCTTCAAATCGCTTTAAACTATTGTCATTGTACAATGAGGGAAAAAAAGTATTTGATCCCCTGTTGATTGTGTACGTTTGCCCACTGACAAAGAAATGATCGGTCTATAATTTTAATGGTAGGTTTATTTGAACAGTGAGAGACAGAATAACAAAAAAAATCCAGAAAAACGCATGTCAAAAATGTTATAAATTGATTTGCATTTTAATGAGGGAAATAAGTATTTGACCCCTCTGCAAAACATGACTTAGTACTTGGTGGCAAAACCTTGTTGGCAATCACAGAGGTCAGACGTTTCTTGTAGTTGGCCACCAGGTTTGCACACATCTCAGGAGGGATTTTGTCCCACTCCTCTTTGCAGATCTCCAAGTCATTAAGGTTTCGAGGCTGACGTTTGGCAACTCGAACCTTCAGCTCCCTCCACAGATTTTTCATGGGATTAAGGTCTGGAGACTGGCTAGGCCACTCCAGGACCTTAATGTGCTTCTTCTTGAGCCACTCCTTTGTAATTGTACAGTGAGGGAAAAAAGTATTAGATCCCCTGCTGATTTTGTACGTTTGCCCACTGACAAAGAAATGATCGGTCTATAATTTTAATGGTAGGTTTATTTGAACAGTGAGAGACAGAATAACAATAAAAATCTAGAAAAACGCATGTCAAAAATGTTATAAATTGATTTGCATTTTAATGAGGGAAATAAGTATTTGACCCCCTCTCAATCAGAAAGATTTCTGGCTCCCAGGTGTCTTTTATACAGGTAACGAGCTGAGATTAGGAGCACACTCTTAAAGGGAGTGCTCCTAATCTCAGCTTGTTACCTGTATAAAAGACACCTGTCCAAAGAAGCAATCAGAATCCAAACTCTCCACCATGGCCAAGACCAAAGAGCTCTCCAAGGATGTCAGGGACAAGATTGTAGACCTACACAAGGCTGGAATGGGCTACAAGACCATTGCCAAGCAGCTTGGTGAGAAGGTGACAACAGTTGGTGCGATTATTCGCAAATGGAAGAAACACAAAAGAACTGTCAATCTCCCTCGGCCTGGGGCTCCATGCAATGATCATGAGAACGGTGAGGAATCAGCCCAGAACTACACGGGGAGATCTTGTCAATGATCTCAAGGCAGCTGGGACCATAGTCACCAAGAAAACAAATGGTAACACACTACGCCGTGAAGGACTGAAACCCTGCAGCGCCCGCAAGACCCCCCGCTCAAGAAAGCACATACATGCCCGTCTGAAGTTTGCCAATGAACATCTGAATGATTCAGAGGACAACTGGGTGAAAGTGTTGTGGTCAGATGAGACCAAAATGGAGTTCTTTGGCATCAACTCAACTCGCCGTGTTTGGAGGAGGAATGCTGCCTATGACCCCAAGAACACCATCCCCACCGTCAAACATGGAGGTGGAAACATTATGCTTTGGGGGTGTTTTTCTGTTAAGGGGACAGGCAAGACAACTTCACCGCATCAAAGGGACGATGGACGGGGCCATGTACCGTCAAATCTTGGGTGAGAACCTCCTTCCCTCAGCCAGGGCATTGAAAATGGGTCGTGGATGGATATTCCAGCATGACAATAACCCAAAACACACGGCCAAGGCAACAAAGGAGTGGCTCAAGAAGAAGCACATGAAGTTCCTGGAGTGGCCTAGCCAGTCTCCAGACCTTAATCCCATGAAAAATCTGTGGAGGGAGCTGAAGGTTCGAGTTGCCAATCGTCAGCCTTGAAACCTTAATGACATGGAGAAGATCTGCAAAGAGGAGTGGGACAAAATCCCTCCTGAGATGTGTGAAAACCTGGTGGCCAACTACAAGAAACGTCTGACCTCTGTGATTGCCAACAAGGGTTTTGCCACCATTTACTAAGGCATGCTTTGCAGAGGGGTCAAATACTTATTTCCCTAATTAAAATGCAAATCAATTTATAACATTTTTGACACGCGTTTTTCTGGATTTTGTTGTTGTTATTCTCTCTCACTGTTCAAATAAACCTACCATTAATATTATAGAGTATAGACTGATAATTTCTTTGTCAGTGGGCAAACATACAAAATCAGCAGGGGATCAAATACTTTTTTCCCTCACTGTAGTGTGTATTTAATGTGGCGCTGCACTCTCTAGGAGAAAACATTTATTAAAAAGTATACTTAATTAAGTAGAACGTGTCTATATTTAAAGTTGCGCATTTTGATGTGACGTCACATTTCTCACCCCCCCCCCCCTCGTCACACATCGTCACAAATGTCTGACCCCCCCCCCAAATGCGTGACGTCATTTATGGACGGCCTCATAACTCATTGGGTTCCTCCAGTCTTCTGATCAATAAAAACAATTCTGAAACGGGCTGATTGATCTCGGCGACCTTGCCACACACCGTCATTAAATACGGTCCTGGTCTGTCTCAGATTCAGCGAAATCAATGCCCCTTGGGATGTGTTAACGCGGGCTCTGCCCACCGCACTGATATTTATACATTACTAGCTTGTACTACCCGGCTTCGCCCGGGACTTGGATCCACCACGCGCGGTCATCTTTGTCTCCCCAGTGGCGATGTTCACACACCACAACAGTTACTCGTTTGAGGCTGAGTCGACCTAGGGGAGGCCAAGGACCGGTTCAAATAATTGTCACCGGTAGTGGCCGTGAGCGGGAATTGAACTCGGGTCGCCGGGTTCGTAGCACAGCGCGCTAACCGCTACACTGCAATGCGTTACGCTTCCACACACACACAGACACAGACAGACACACACACAGACACACAGATACACACACACAGCGCCCTAACCACTACACTACAACGCGTTACGCTTCCACATGCGAGGATCACGTGACAGATTTGACGTCATAGCTCACTTGCCGTGCAAAAAATAAATGCATTATTGAGCTCCCCCCCCCCCTAAAAAAAAGTGTATTTGTATAATTTTTGCATGGTGTACAGTTTGGAAAGTACCAACATGGCAAATTTCAAGTTTGTTGCATGTCGGGAAGTACGCTCAACATTTTGAACAGACACACATTCACAACTTTGCCTTTTATATGTATTGAGATTTCAGACCGGGCGTTGGCAGGATCGCTGACGGCTGTGTGTACATGCCCAGTAAACATCCAGCCTTGGCATGTGGTTGGAACAGTTGGCCCAGCGTTCTATGTTTACTGGGTATGTACATGCAGTGGGGAGCTAGAAGCACAACATTTACAAAACGTTGTGGATTCACTCAACACACCACTGGGCTAAAGTTGTGAACTATTTGTCTTTTGTCAACGTGACACTTTTTTGCTGATTGACCGTGTCGGGTGGTGGAGGGTTACGACACATTTATAAATAACGCGATCTAACCCAAAAACCTTTTTCATTATGAATAATATTGGTCGCGAAAGCCTACGAGTTAAATATCAAGCTGCTCCCAGACGTTCTATCGAACCAGGAACTCCGTTGCCCAACCCTGCCTGTGCCCCCACAGTACCAGGAGGCACAGGGGGGGGCACGCGGGGCAGGTACGAGGGGGGCATGGGGGGCAGGCACGGGGGGGGCATGGGGGGCAGGTACGGGGGGGCATGGGGGGCAGGCACGGGGGGGCATGGGGGGCAGGTACGGGGGGGGCATGGGGGGCAGGCACGGGGGGGCATGGGGGCAGGTACGGGGGGGCATGGGGGGCAGGTACGGGGGGGGCATGGGGGGCAGGTACGGCGGGGGCAGGCACGGGGGGGGCATGGGGGCAGGTACGGGGGGGCATGGGGGGCAGGTACGGGGGGGGGGCATGGGGGCAGGTACGGCGGCCCTCCACGAGGGGGCGCTCTTACAGGAAGCAGGAGTCGGGCAAGGGGAGCTCCCAGCTCTCAACCCAGCCCAGGTCCTCTACCAACACGAGACTCCTGTTCTCCCCCCCACCCCTCCCTAGACACTCTCTCTCTCTCTGATCCCTTCTATGCTCCTGTACTACCTCATGCCCACCTCTGCCCTCCCCTTTGCTCCCCCCATTGTTCTTGACCCGCTCCCTCTGCCCCCCCCACTGACACTCGATGACCACCCCCCCAGAATCTATAGAGTTACTCCCCCCACTGACTCCCCGTGTCAATTCTCAATTGCACCTCTCTGCTCCACCTGTTCTGCCTGATCCCCCCCTGCACCCACCTCCCCCCCACTGCCCATCTCAGGGGCCGTCCATATATGACGTCACGCAATTTTGGACGATTTTTACCCCCCCACCCTCGTCACACGGCGTCACAAAAAGTCAGACCCCCCCCCTCAAATATGACGTCACAAAGCTCTGCCCCCCCTCCTCAAAACCATATTTCCATTTTGAAAATCAAACATGCTTCAAATAGCTTTTAACTATTGTCATTGTAGTGCGTATTTAATGTGGCGCTGCACTCTGACGTTGTAGGAGTGTTGTTATTACAATTAGTATTGTTGTTATAACAATTCTATATTTATTAAAAGTTGCGCATTTTGATGTGACGTCACATTTCTCAAACTCCACCCCCCCCTACTCATTGTTTTTTTCGGTAAAGTCACGCATGTAGAAATACCGAAAAAACCAATGAGTAATTTTTATGCAGTCACGAAAGCTTGAATACTTTATCATCCACCCCCCCTGTCACACATCGTCACAAATGCCTGACCCCCCCCCTCTAGGTGCGTGACGTCATTTATGGACGGCCCCTTATTGGTCCCCATACTGCCCCCTCCCCACGCCCCGCCCAGCTCTGTTCCTCCTCCCTCCCTTGCCCCCCCCCCCTCCACAGCTCCCTCCTCCTACTCAGAGCAGAAGCGCGACATCGACTCGACGGTTTTAAACAGAAGAGAGACCCCACATCAGCAAACCAGCAGCGCCATCAAGCAGGAGGAGGAGGAAGCAGCGGCAGCAGCAGCGGCAGTGAGAGCGCCACAGCGGCCTGGGGTGGCGTCGCGCGAAACTTCAAAGAGAAGAGTTGGGAGCAGCGATTTTATAAGAGCGAGGAGGAGAGAGAGCGAGCCAGGAGGGAGCCAGGAGGGAGCGAGGAGGAGGAGGAAGGAGGAGGAGAGATTGCAAGGTGGGTGCGGGACACCCACGTGCCGGGACCTTCAAACCGAGACATCGCAGGGACACGGAGGGGAGGACATGGGAAGGAAAGTTGGACAGTGTCGTGGGGGTGGATAGGAAACGGAGGCACACGAAGAGACGGACAAGGGGAACAGAAGGAGAGAGGAATGTGGGACACAAGGACAGAGGGCGGCCAGGGACAGAGAGAGAACAGAGGGACACGGGGACACACACAGAGGGACGCGGGGACACAGACACAGGGACAAAGACACAGGGACACGGGGACAGAGGGACACGGGGACAGAGGGACACGGGGACAGAGGGACACGGGGACAGAGGGACACGGGGGCACACACACAGGGACACGGGGACAGAGGGACACGGACACACACAGAGGGACACGGGGACACAGACACACAGGGACACGGGGACACACACAGAGGGACACGGGGACACACACAGAGGGACACGGGGACAGAGGGACGCGGGGACACAGACACACACACAGGGACACGGGGACAGAGGGACACAAGGAACAGAGAGACACCAGGGACAAGAGGGACACGGGGGCCAAGACAGTGAGACAGAGGGACAGTGAGACGGGTGAACAGTGACACAGGATCAGGTAAACACGGAGACAGTGAGACGGACACACCCAGACACACACACACCCAGACAGACAGATAGACACACACAGACAGAGCCCCCGTATAGCCTTAACAGACTGTAGGGGCAAGTGCTGTTAGCGAGCACCTATGAAGGCCGAAACGGTACACGAGGGGGTGGGTGGCCAGCACCACGCCCGACCGCCTTTGTCTCCCTAGTGGCAATGTTTACACACCGCACCAGGTACCCATTTGAGGCTGAGTCGACCTAGGGGAGGCCCAGGACCGGTTCAGATAATCGTCACTGGTGTTGGCCGTGAGCGGGAATCGAACTCGGATCGCCGGGTTCGTAGCGTAGCGCTAACCGCTACACTACCGCTCCCCATCCAGATACACACACACCCAGACACACAGACAGACACCCACAGACAGACACACACCCAGACACACACACAGACAGACGCACACAGACAGACACACACACCCAGACACACACCCAGACACACACACAGACACACACAGACAGACGCACACAGACAGACAGACACACACAGAAAGACACACACAGACACACACACCCACACAAACAGACACACACACCCATACACACAGACACACACACACCCAGACACACAGACAGACATACACACAGACAGACATACACACACCCAGACACACACACACCCAGATACACACACACCCAGACACACACACACCCAGATACACACACACCCAGACACACAGACAGACACACAGACAGACACACACACACACACCCAGACACACAGACAGACATACACACACCCAGACACACACACACCCAGACAGACACACACACCCCCAGACAGACACACACACCCAGACACACACACACCCAGACACACACACACCCAGATACACACACACAGACAGACACACACACAGACACACAGGCAGACACACACACACCAAGACACACAGACAGACATACACACACCCAGACACACACACAGACAGACACACCCAGACACAGACACACAGACAGACACACACACACCCAGACAGACACGCTGTTCGTTGAGCACAGTGACTGTGCATACCATTGCCCCGAGCGTCTGTGGTGAATGAGTGGGGCGGTCAGCAAGATCCTCGACAGTTTTCTGTAGTTTTGACTTTTTGGGCCCCCATCTGAGCGTGCATGGCCATTAAACCGACGTTTCGCCAGTAAGGAGAAAACAGGAGGATTTTTCCACAAATATGGCTGTTGCCTGATGAAGCTGGTTGTAATTACTGCCGAAACGTCGTACTCAGATTGTAAATGTTGTGGCTTTGCTCTCCAACACATCGGTGTGCTGTACTAGTAACGAATTGGCATGTTCTGTTTACGTGACAAACCTTACTCATTGCCTGTGTCGGGTTTAATGACATTTAAATATTTACGCGATCTAACTAAAAATAATCTGTGTTATGGATTTCCGGGCTAACCCACGTGCTGCTCTGTTAATGCGTTCGTGGTTTGTCTAAGAGTGCGTGCGCGTGTCTGTGTGGGTTAAGCCCAAAGTCCCCGCGTGGAAATTTCACGTGTGTTTGTGATGACCCCCCCTCCTGTGTTTTTTCGTAATGTACACGTCCTGTACACATAGCAACAGAAACTAGTGTTATAAAAGGCGACGTTTCGCACAATGGCCTTTAATTGTTGTCTCACTCTGTGTCGCGTAACAGTTAGCGTGCTGCGCTACAAACCCGGCGACCCGAGTTCGATTCCCGCTCACAGCAGCCAACATCAGTGACAATTATCTGAGCAGGTTTTGGGCTTCCCCTAGGTCGACTCGGCCTCAAATGAGTACCTGGTGCGGAGACAAAGGCGGCCCGGGCATGTTACTGACCACCCACCCCCTCGTTTGCCGTGCCAGCCTTCATAGGTGCCAGCACTTGCCTCAACAGTCTATGAAGGCTACAAGGGGGAATCTTTGTTTTTTGTTTTGGTTAAACCCAAAGTCACCGCGTGTAAAATGAACGTGTGTTTGTGATGAGCCCTCCTCCTCTGTTGGTCGTGATGAACACATGCTGTACAAATAGCAACAAACTGGTAACACTACAAGGACATCAAAGGCGACGTTTTGGGTAAATTCCCCTCTTCGTGTCTCCGTGTCCTACGTTGTGTTCGAAGGGCCATGGGCACTAAACGTCGTCACTTATTCGATAGATAAAATGTGTGTTTGCCATTTTATGCCAGTGTTATCGAGGGACGTTTTTTACGGCAGTGCTATTGAGGAACCTGTTGGGACAATGTCAACTTCAAAAACGGCAGGTTGTGCCGAATATCCTCCGAGTTGGCCAGGTTATGAGCAGCTCATCCGGAATGTGCCCAGTTCCCGGAAGCTCAGCAGATTCCGTGCCTGGATAGTTCTTGGATGGCGACCACCTCGCATCCAGCAGTCTCCCAATGCACCCTGGACAAGCAGCGTGTATGTCCACAAACACGGAGGAGAATTGGCCTTCAGCGGATCATTTGGGCGAGCGGGGTTATCGGTATTGTGACGAGCCCCACGCTCGGCTGTCTTTGTCTCCCCCAGTGATGATTTTTTTTTAAAGACACGACTTGGTACTTATTTAAGTCTCAGCTGACCTAGGGAAGGGCTAAGATCGGCGAGGACATTTACTAATAATTAGACATAACCGCACACACCGATATAAAACAAGACACTAACACACACAGGTTATACATTAACACACATAAAAGTAGACCTCTACACGCAATTACATATTTACACAGAGTTAGACCAGAAGGACTGATACACACGTAACAATCACACATGTACAAAACAAATCGCAGATATGCAGTACACAACCAGACACATGCAGAATACAAAAGCACAGGGACTGACTCACACGGATATGGATACACACATGCACTCACAGATTCCATAAACACCCACACACAGCAAAACAGATCACGCCCAGGTTAGAAAGAGGTCTCTGGGTGAGTGTGTGGGAGGGAGTTTCGAACGGGACCCGTCCTGTAGACCAGACGATTGTAATGATGCCTCAAAGTGCACCTAGAATGGCACAAGCGCCATGGTGAACTGCTGTTGTTGTAGGGAGCGGTGGTGCAGTGGTTAGCGCACTGCGTTACGAACCTGGTGACCCAATTTCGATTCCCGCTCATGGCCAAGAACAGTGGCGAATATCTGAACCCGGTCCTGGGCCTCGCCTAGGTCGGCTCAGCCTCAAATGAGAACCTGGTTCAATATATAAAATTGCCACTAGGTAGACAAAGGCGGTCGGGCGTGGTGCTTGTCACCCACCTCCTGCTCGCAAACAGGACTTGCCCAGACAGTCCGCTCAAGGCTTTACGGGGGTGCCTTTGTTTTTGGTAGGGAGTTTTGGGGGCATCTTGGTGATTTCTCAATTCACAGCGAGGCTCACGTTGGTGTTTTGCAGTGCCCCCAGTCCCAGAGAGAGAGGGAGAGATCGTAGTGGGCAAGGCGGATTCTAGAAACTGTTATGAGTCGCTGTTGTTGTTGTGGCTGTCAGCCAGCCACTCCTTTCCTGACTGACCCCAGTTGCCCCTGTAGTGAACACAGATATCTGTGATGCCGTTTCACTGCCTCCGTTTCTTGCCCCATCTCTGCATCTCTTTTATCGTCTCTCGGTCTCCACTCCAGAGGGAATTTTGTCCAGAAATAAATAAACGCACGAAGCTTTGTTTTTTAAGTTGCGCAGTTTTTCGTTCAGAAGCGCAGGAAACCACCCAGGAGTTGGAAGGCAGCCAGAACTGTTGGCGAAAATAATTGTCCATGCTCTGTGGCCCTCATTTGAAATATTTTGCCAACTCCGATAACGAGTGTTGATATCTGTGGGAGGAAACCGGAGTTCAAACCCATGCGTGCCTGGGGGGGGGGACAACACAGATTAATCTTCTTGCTGTCGGCCATGCCCTGGCAAGCCAGGGCATTGCGACCTCGATCGATGGCCACGGGAAGGAGGTTTCGCAACATTTGTGTGATCCACGAAACGACAGAAAAGCCAGAGGGGGTAGGTGCAGCGGGCAAAAGAAAACTATAAGAGAAAGATGTGAGTGTCGGTGAATCGGGAATGCCGGCTGAAGAAAAAAAGAGACCCAATGTGGAAATTAATTTGGCACCCGATCGTTGCCTATTAAGCTGATGGGATAGATGATGAATGGGCGTTATTAAAGCTGGAAAGTGTCTGAGCTTCAAGACTATTTCTCGGAAGGGTTGCTGCGACGTTGCGATGTTTGGCCATCAAATTCATCAATGAGAGTTTGGCTTCACGTGGCAGGAAACTGGAATAAGCCGGAGAATACCCACCACGTGTACAAAGGGAACGCTGAATGTTCCATACAGATGGATTCAGTAGTCCACCGCCACACAGCCATCTGCTGGCCACCTCACAGCCTTGTTGTGAATGTGATTGTCTCAGTGTCAGCACCAACACGATTCAGCCATCAACTTACGGCGCACCCAATCGATTCGCTGAAGAACCCAGACATACATTTATAAAATTTGCAGCCGTTCCAAAAACTGCTTCTCTCCACGACGCGCCGTACGAAGGGAGTCGGTGCCCCCAGCGCCGGCGGCCCCCAGCGCCGGCGCCCCCAGCATCAGTGTCCCTGCGTCGGTGTCTCGGGGATGTCTGCAGTGGCTACGAGAACCGACATCGTGGCCGTGATGTCGCTGGATATTTGGGGCTGGGATAAATATAACCGGGTTAACCGTGCAGCCTCCGCATAACCCGCCTCCCCTCCCCGCAGCGCGCACTGGATGCAGACGCGCGCCTGGACGAGGCGCGCCGGGTGTGGCCGGCCCAACCGGATTCCAGCCACCCCCGGGATACAAGCACGGTCTCTCGCAGGTAGGTGGGTAGGTGTGTTGCAGCGTGGCTATGAATAGGTGGGTGCGCGGTTCTCGGTGTGAATGTTTGCTGTGGTAGGTAAGTGCGTGTGTGTGAGCAGGTAGGGCTGTTGGTCCGAGTGTGATAGGTGTGTGGTAAGGCATGCGGTCTAAGTGTGAGTGAGTGTGTGGTAGGTGTGCGGTAGTGTCGACGGATATTTGGGGAGCAGTGGCACCGTGTTTAGATCGCTGCGCTACGAACACGGCGATCTGAGTTTGCAACATCGGTGACGAATGTCTGAACTGGTACTGGGCCTCCACTAGGTCGACTCAGCCTTAAATGAGTAGCTGGTGCGGTGTGTAAACGATTGGCACTGGGGAGACAAAGGCGACTGAGCGTGGTGCTCGCTACCCACTCCCTCGAGTGCCGTGCTCGCTAACAGCACTTGCCCCCAGAGTGTGTGAAAGGCTATACAGGAGATCTGTGTCTTGTGTAAGTGTGTGCGTGTGAGCACTTAGTGGTGCCGTGCTGCGCGTGACGTGCGAGTGGTGTTGACTGTGGCGCCGAGTGTTGGCAGGGCCGTGAGCGTCTCCGGGTGCGCAATGCTTTATAGATTTGGGCCAGTTGCCATCTCCTCACTGTATTTATATCAACGCAGAATCTGTACCCGTTCGCCCGTTCACCTTCGACCCCCCAACTGATCCCAATCCCCCGGGCCACAGGAGCCGCCTGAGCACCATGCGCCGCCGACTCCGGGAGAAAATGGGCTTCCGCTCGGCGCAGTCGGCGCCCCAGGGGGTTCTGTTCGACTCCCCGTACGCGTCCGACACCGAGATGGGCCCCGGCGAGGACGGACCCCCTTCCCGTCCTCCTCCGTCCCCCCCGCTGCTCCTCGCAAAGTCGGCCGACTCCGCTGCCGCGGCCGGCGCCGCCGCCCTGGCCGGCGCCCTTCCCGCGCCTCTCTCCAGGGTGTCGCGCAGCACGCCCGACCTCCTGCGCACGGAGCAGGACGAAGAGCCCGGGCGAACGGTACGGCGCGGCGCCGATCGATAGAGTAGCGGCGGGGCGGATGATGGTGGCGACGGTGACGGTGATTTGCGTTCGATAGGGCCGCCCTCATCACCCTCCGGGATGTCACAGAGCGCTTTGCCTTACTTCATCGTATCCCATCTCAAACACATTTCAGAGGCCACCTCCTCCCCCCCTCACAGTGGCAGCTGTCCCTGTGCGGCATAAGATGACTGGGCCACCTGGCCTGCCAGCAGGGATCCGTCTGCCGGAAGGGTGCGATGATTGCTTCTGTGTAGTATAGCTAAGGGGACCCCCAGTGGCAGCTGTCCCTGTGCGGCACAAGGTGACTCGGCACCTGGGCTGCAAGCTGGCGTTCGTCTGTCAGTAGGGTGTGCGATGATTGATGCTGCGTGTGATCCCGATGGAGTGATTTGTAACAGTGATCAATACCGAGAGGCGACGCTGCCTCATTTCTCCCTCTCTATAAAACATGCACTCGGTGTATTTGTTCTACAATCGTTGAAAAACCCTTGACGACGTTAGCTTGCAACGATGGAGCTATACATTTGTGGCACTGTAAACTAAAAAAAAAATCACTTGCCGAACACGTGATTGTGCACACGAGTCCACTGAATAATTTTGCTAAACATCCCAATATAAACGGGACTACAAAGGTCGGGAAATTTCTGGCGCCGGTTCCAGATGCCTTCACGAGCGCTTTCTTGTCTGTTGGTTCCCCTGCGTCTCCGTGCGAAAGTCTGCATGCATTACAAATTCTAATTGTGCGTTTTTATAGGCTATTTGTATGAATGACGATGTTACAGTGTATGTAAATTTAAACAGTATTATTCTTACGTGTGACTGTCATTATATAATAGCCAGGTGGTTATGTCTGTGGCAGGGTTTAATGCGGTGGAGTAGTGGTGCAATGGTTAGCTCGCTGCACGACAATCCAGTGGCCAGTGTCTGATTTACACTCACGACCAGCATTAGTGGATAGTGATAACTGAACCGGTCCTGGCCTTTCCCAAGGTCGACTCAGCCTTAAATGAGTACCTCGTGTGGTGTGTAAACATCAGCGCCGGGGATAGAGACGAAGCTGGCCGGACACAACTCTAACGACACCGCCATTTCACGAGCCATTCCAACCTTCATAAAGCGCTCGCTAACAGCACTCGCCCCAGTAAGCCTTGAGGCTATAAGGGGAGACCTTTATCTCTTTGAGGGTTTAACGCACGCGTGGCTACGCGTGGTTGCTGCTGATGGTGCAGGAGACGCTCGGCACTTCACAGGGCGAGCAGCTGGACAACGACAAGCTGTCTGAAGTCAAAGGTCACCTCGAGATTGCTCTCCTGGAGAAATACTACCTTCGTGAGTCTCGGCACCGTCCACGCGATGCACACGGGCGCCTGGGTGCAGCGTGGGGTGGTTGCGTGGCATGTGCCGTGCCCGGGCGTCTGCCACGCGTTCGCTGGTGCGTGACGACGACGACTCGGATCGACGCACCAGCGGACGTGCGCGTGGACTCGTGAGCTGCGGCCGCTCGGTCGTGTGCGCTCACGAGACCGGGGAGTGGTGGCGCAGCGGTTAGCGTGCTGCGCTACGAACCTGGCGACCCGAGTTTCCGGTTCTCGTTCACGGCCATCGTCGGTGACGAATATTGGAACAGGTCCTAGGCCTCCCCTAGGTCGACTCGGCTTTATATGAGCACCTGGTGCGGTGTATAACCATCATCACTGCGTATGTGCATGCATGCGTACGTGCGTTTGATGCAGTTGTATAATTGCGACACTGTAAATGTACAAAGCCAGTTTGCTGAAAACCGGCACGATTGTTCCGCACGAATCCACTTAATAATTTGTGTAAGAGACGCAAGAAGAAGAAGAATTTGCGGCAACGTTCAACACTCATTCATTCTCATTTTCGTTCAGTGCGGTTGGCTACGTACGGTGCGAAAGAAGTTCATCACACATACACACATACAAATGGTGTCGGCCAAACATCTCAAACATATCCGGCCGCAGAGCTCGGGCGACGGTTGGCAGCGCCCGCTCGTGTCTCCCGCGCAGAGGAGGAGCTGCAGCGTCTGCGTGGTGACTCGGGGCTGGAGGCGAAGCTGGAGAAGGAGAAGGAGCGGCGCCGCAAGGCCGAGTTCGAGCTCCAGAGGCTGCGCGACGAGAACGCGGCCGCCGCCACCACCGCCACCACCGCCACCACGGTGGGGTGAGAGGCCCCACTCACACCGGGGACCCCTAAACGGGGGTAGGGGAGGGTTAGAGACCCCACTCACACCGGGGATCCCTCCATGGGAAGCCTACGTGGGTTCCCCTACATACGGACCCCTACAGTGGATTCCTGTATGAGACCCCTCAGCAGGACTCTTCCACAGAGCCCCTTTTAAGGGGGGACCTCTACACGAGATCCCTGCTGGGGACCCCTGTACGAAAGCCCGTCAGGGCATACCGCGTGTGTCTCCGTCTATCTCTGTGTGACTCCGTGTGTCTCCGTGTGTCTCCGTGTGACTCCGTGTGTCTCCGTCTATCTCTGTGTGTCTCCGTGTGTCTCCATGTGTCTCCGTGTGACTCCATGTGTCTCCGTCTATCTCTGTGTGTCTCCGTCTATCTCTGTGTGACTCCGTGTGTCTCCGTGTGACTCCGTGTGTCTCCGTGTGTCTCCGTCTATCTCTGTGTGACTCCGTGTGTCTCCGTCTCTCTGTGTGACTCCGTCTGTCTCCGTGTGACTCCGTGTGTCTCCGTCTGTCTCCGTGTGACTCCGTGTGTCTCCGTCTATCTCTGTGTGACTCCGTGTGTCTCCGTGTGACTCCGTGTGTCTCCGTCTATCTCTGTGTGTCTCCGTGTAACTCCGTGTGTCTCCGTGTGTCTCCGTGTGACTCCGTGTGTCTCCGTCTATCTCTGTGTGACTCCGTGTGTCTCCGTCTATCTCTGTGTGACTCCGTGTGTCTCCGTGTGTCTCCGTCTATCTCTGTGTGACTCCGTGTGTCTCCGTCTATCTCTGTGTGACTCCGTCTGTCTCCGTGTGACTCCGTGTGTCTTCGTCTGTCTCCGTGTGACTCCGTGTGTCTCCGTGTGTCTCCGTCTATCTCTGTGTGACTCTGTGTGTCTCCGTGTGACTCCGTGTCTCCGTCTATCTCTGTGTGACTCCGTGTGTCTCCCTGTGACTCCGTCTATCTCTGTGTGACTCCGTGTGTCTCCGTCTATCTCTGTGTGACTCCGTCTGTCTCCGTGTGACTCCGTGTGTCTTCGTCTGTCTCCGTGTGACTCCGTGTGTCTCCGTCTATCTCTGTGTGACTCTGTGTGTCTCCGTGTGACTCCGTGTCTCCGTCTATCTCTGTGTGACTCCGTGTGTCTCCGTGTGACTCCGTGTGTCTCCGTCTATCTCTGTGTGACTCCGTGTGTCTCCGTGTGACTCCGTGTGTCTCCGTCTATCTCTGTGTGACTCCGTGTGTCTCCGTGTGACTCCGTGTGTCTCCGTCTAGCTCCGTGTGACTGCGTGTGTCTCCGTGTGCCTCCGCGTGTCTTCCACTTGTCTCCGCGTGTCTCCGCTTGACTCCGTGTGTCTCCATGTGTCTCTGTGTCCACGCTTCAGGGCTTCAGTCGCAGACAGCGCTATACCGGCGCCTCCACTGGCAGAGGACTCCAGAGACTCAGGTGAAGCCTCAGCCGCTGCTCACCACCTCACCGCTGCTCACCACCTCACCGCTGCTCACCACCTCACCGCTGCTCACCACCTCACCGCTGCTCACCACCTCAGCCGCTGCTCACCACCTCACCGCTGCTCACCACCTCACCGCTGCTCACCACCTCACCACCTCACCGCTGCTCACCACCTCACCGCTGCTCACCACCTCACCGCTGCTCACCACCTCACCGCTGCTCACCACCTCACCGCTGCTCACCACCTCACCGCTGCTCACCACCTCACCGCTGCTCACCACCTCACCACCTCACCGCTGCTCACCACCTCACCGCTGCTCACCACCTCACCGCTGCTCACCACCTCACCGCTGCTCGGTACCAGACCGCTGCTCTCCACGCCACACCACACCATGCCTCACCACACTGCTCAAGACCCACACCATGCCTCACCACACCACCCCTCCCAACACTCCTCAACACCACGCCACTCCGTGGCCTCCTGCGGCGTGGCTTGGTCTGCGAGGTTTAACTTTCCCACGGTGTGGTTGAGGTAAATGTGGCCCGGTGTTCCGGCTGCCTCTCTCTCTGCCCCCCCCCACTTCCCTTCACCCCTCCCCCGCCACCCCGTGCGTACGAGCAGCAAATTCGGCGTCTCCACCGCGGGGGTTGCTGGGCCCGGCTCGGCTGCGCTGGCGCCGTGCGCTGGCCGCCCTCTCGTCGGACCTGGGCGCCAACCCGGAACCCCCGCCCCCAGAGCCCGACGAGCCACTCAGCGGACGCAGGTCACCCGCGCTCTCCACCCCCCCCGCCGTCACCCTGCCCCCCCCCCCCCCCCCTCGCTTCCTCGTTTCTTGCCGGGCCCGCGGTGCCTGCTTGGCTTCGGGTGTCTTGACGAGAATCGGGCGCTATCGCCGAGCAGCGCGGGAACACGGCGCGGTGGAGTGAGGCACGGACACATCCGTCGCCGTAGCCGCGCGCCACAGAGTGCCGCGTTAGTCAGACGCGCTCGAGTGATGTCACCGCACACTCGGTGACAACACTCGGCGCCTGCAATTGCCCGGCTCGCGCCACTGCTGGTGGAAGGCGCCTAAACCATAGTGAGCTCGAGAGAGGCCCTCGAGACGATATTTGCGGCCTACCCTTTCACGATGGCCAGATGTATCTTGGCAGAGGTGGGAGTACCCACACTATACCCCACCACGTGTGTATGCTCTTTCGCACCGGACGTAGCCAACTGTGCTAATCGCAGGTGCTGGACATGCCAAGTAACTTAACGTTCTGAACACATTCGTACTGCTGAGTGAACAGGGGTGGGAATGGCGGGGGCAAGGGGTAGAGGCGGGGAATTTCAGAAACTTGCCCAATTGTTTCCACTCCCGCTTGGGGATATCCGAAGAGGCGACCTCTGCGTTGCAAGTCCAGTGTGCTCACTGGGCCACCGCTGTGGCAGCGGCAGCAGCAGCAGCAGCAGCATCATCCCGCTGCCACTGACTGACATTTTCTAAGTTTTTTTGCCCTCACTCTGGAAGCATCGTATTTTGCGTTAAATATAACCTCTGGACGCACAGCTCCCGGCGTGCAGCTACAAGATGGGCGCGGTTTATTTTATTGGTAGGGTACAGTGTCTTCCTTCTCGTGGGTGCGGTCGGGTAGGGGGGGGGGATCTCGTCACGTAGGGAAGGTCACCGGTGGTGGCAGTGTAGGCGTGGTGAGGACGCGCGCTCTGACAGCCGTGTCACGCTGATGATAGCGTGACGAGGTGGCCGTGTGGCTCGGCGGTGCTGTCACGTCGAATCACCAGCCCTGCTGACATCCTGCCACTGAAGCCTCGGCGGTCACCAGTCATTAAAGCAGGTTTCTTTTTTTTTATTCCAGTGTAGTGAGTGAAACGATTGTCTCAGCTGTGTGACCAATACGATAATTATAATAGAGTAATAGTTATTGTCTAAATCTTGTCATCATCATCATGTATGTTGAACTTCTTCGCACCATACGTAGCCAACCGTGCTATAAGCCGTGGTCAATCCACTGCTGGATGAAGGCCTTCCCAAGCCACCGCTGCCACCTCTCACCAACCTGCCACCTCATTTTACACCCAGCACCTGGAGCTGTCATCGATAAGTGTATTAATTATCTGATTGAGCAAGGGTTGAATTTGTACGACCAATGAAGAGCAACTGTTAGTCACTTCCTGTGTTGGACACGTTTGTTTTATGATACAATTATTTAATTGGGTTTTCAAGTGCAGTGAATTGATTTCCCAGCCTCGTCGTCAATAAATGCAAATTATGTTATTTTAATAATAAAAATGTAATTAAAATATTAACACAGTCCATTATTACGAAATAAAAGTTACCGTTCAAATAATGATTGAAAATTAACTGGTTGGTGGTCCCTGCCATGTCACCAGAAATAGTACATTAATAATCACTGAACAGTGGAACGACGCGGACGTCCAGAATGGATACCTCTGGCTTTCACATTCTTCTTCCTCCATGACACCGGTCGTGTGACCATCAACCGCAGCAGAAAATCAACCGCAGGCCTATGCGCACATCTCTTCCATGAATGGGAGAATTAAATACAAGCCACAGCAATGTGATTGTGGCCATGCATCCCAATGTGGCCCGCACAGTTAACCCACTGTGGTCTGCCCCCCTTCAACAGAGGAGGAACTGCAAAACCACACTCTCTCTCTCCTGAAGGCTTCTCGTCGTGGCCAGTAGAGCTTACCATTGGCATTCAGCGCCTGAACATTTTGCTGCCATCGTGCGCAAGGATAGAATATTCACTTTAAGTTTGCTTTTCATTTTAACCAGCAGCGTCATTTCCAGCTCTGGAGGACCAAACCCTGAAGTTTCATTGCCGTACAACGAGCATCGCCATAGGAGGGCATGTGGGAAGATGTGGCCCCTCGTGCGGATGAAGGGGGCTCAGAAGTAGTTCTATGAAGCCTTTTTCCAGAGGCTGTTCTCTGACACGGGGTGCTTAATGAATGAGCTCTGAATGAAACACACCGTCAGCATCACAGCGTGAAATGGAATGGAATTCTGGGACAATGTGATGATAGGGTGATGTAATTGCAGAGTGTGCCCTCTGACCAAATCACCCGTGACGCGCCCCAGTCCTTTTGGACTTCAGAAGCTAAGCAAGGTTGAACCTGGATCGTGCTTGGATGGGCGACCACCATGGAGAAAACAGGTGCAGTAGGCATTGTGAGCAGCAGAGGGCAGCGCGGGCAAAATCGAATGTTCTGCTGTACTCCATCGACTTTCACGTACCTGCACTGACCAGCGCGGTGACGTATGGCCTAGCGGTGTGGATAGGCCCTCGTCCTGTAGTGGATTGACAAACGTGTACGTGTGCGTGTGTGGTGGTCCGGCGTGGGTGTGGTTGAGGTGTGCCATTGCTCGATGGTGACTCCGTTGTGTTTGACGCCCACAGGCTCACTGAGAACATGCGGAGAGTGCGTAAGTAGTTTGGCTCTCGGCACAAGTCGCATACACCAAAGACAAAGACCCCCCCGTGTAACCTGACATAGACTATTAGGGCAAATGCTGTTAGTGAGCACTTATGAAGGCCAGCACAGCACACGAGGGGGTGGGTGGCCAGCACCACGCCCGGCTGCCTTTGTCTCCCCAGTCGACCTAGGGGAAGTCCAGCACCGATTCAGATAATCGTCAGTGCTGTTGGCCGTGAGCGGGAATTCGGGTCACCGGGTTCATAGCGCAGCGCGCTAACCACTACACTACCGCTCCCCCCCCAGCGCCACTCGCGCGCACACAAACACACACACGCATCTTCACTGCTTTATGTTTCACAGACGCTGGTGTTTGCCTAGATGAGCGCGGCTCACTCATTGTACCTGTGCGTGCGTGTGTTTGTGTGTGCCAGGCCGAGGTTTTAAGCCGGTGTCTCTCTTCATGCGCAACCTCAAGGCACTCTCCGTGTGGCAGTCCGTTTACACGTCCGCCATCGCGTTTGTTGTGTGTACACGCACGCACACTCGCACACACACACAGACAAAGATCCCCCGTATAGCCCATATAGACTGTTGGAGCAAGTGCACAAGGCCGTCACGGCACACGAGGGGGTGGGTGGCCAGCGCCACGGCTGGCTGACTGCCTTTGTCTCCCCTGTGCTCAAGTTTTATACTTGGCACCAAGTACTCAATTAAGGCTGAGTTGACCTAGGAGAGGCTAGGCCTGGTTCAGACATTTGTCACAGATGTTGGCCGTGAGCGAGGATTCATACTCGGGTTATCAGGTTCACTTACCGCTACATGAACACTTCCTGCACACAAAGAGAAAGATCCCCCATATAGCCTTAACATACTGTTGGGGCAAGTGCTGTTCGCGAGAACCTATGCAGACCGGCACGGCACACGAGGGGGTGGCTGGCCAGCGCCCGCCCTTTGTATCCCGAGTGGCGATTCTTTTTACACACTGCACCAGGTACTCATTTGAAGCTGAGCAGGTCTAGGGGATGACCAGGGCCGATAAAAAAAAAATCGTCACTGGTGTTGGCCGTGAGTAGGAATCCAACTCGGGTCGTCGGGTTTGAAGCGCAGAGCGCTAACCGTTTCTGCACACATACGCGCACTCGCACACATAAGCAGAAACGCACAAATGCATTAACGTGCACTCATGCACACATGCACAACAACAACAGCTGCCATTCACCGCCAAGCGCTGCTGATACCACGACAGCGCTTGTACCAGGCTATGTGCACTTTGAGGCCACTTGAAGTCCTAACGGCTCGCTGATAGGTGGTCACGCTACAGGCCCAGGTGCCACGGGTTGACTGACTGAGATGACTGGCAGATGCACCACCTGTGCTCCCCACTGTTCCACCTCGTTGCGTTTTAGCCACCCTCCGTTGTCGCTGGAGGAAGACTGCCTCCAACTTCCCAGTAGCAGCAGCGTCCTGCACGAGCCTCCTACACAAACATGGACGTGCACCCCCCCACACATGTATATGCACAAATACATATCCCCCATATAGCCTTGATAGGCTGCTGGGGCACGCGATGCTATAATAAGCACTCATTGAGGTCGGCACGGCACACAAGTTGGGGGGGTGATGATAGATCCACACCAACGACGCCACCCAGGGCAGATGTTTACTCAAAGGTGACGGATACTTATTCTGATGTGACTCGGCAATGATGTTAGCCATGTGGCTGGGAATCAAACTCGGGTGGCCAGGTTTGTGGTTCGCCCGCTGTGTCACCAGTCGGGCTGACGAGGGGGTGGTGGTTTTGTGGCAGCTCTTTATCTTCCTTGGCCCATAAATGCACAGACACACACACACGCGCACACACACACACACACACGCACACACAAAGATAAAGATCCCCCGTATAGCCTTAACAGACTGTAGGGTGAGTGCTGTTAGCGAGCACCTATGAAGGCCTGAACGGTACACGAGGGGGTGGGTGGCCAGCACCTAGCCCGACGGCCTTTGTCTCCCCAGTGGCAATGTTTTTATCCACCGCACCAGGTACTCATTTGAGGCAGAGTCGATCTAGGGGAGGCCCAGGACCGGTTCAGATAATCGTCACTGGTGTTGGCCGTGAGCGGGAATCGAACCCGGGTCGCCAGGTTCATAGCGCAGCGCCCTAACTGCGACACCACCACTCCCCACACACGCACGCACACAGACACGAGCACACACAACGCACACACACAGACACGCACACGCACACAGATGCATACACACGCACACACGGACACACACACACGGACACACACACAGACACGAGCACACACAGACACGCACACACAGACACGCACACACACACAGACACGAGCACACCCACACGCACACACAGACACGCACACACAGACACGAGCACACCCGCACGCACACACACGCGCACACACACACCCACGCACACACAGACACACACACAGACACGCACACACACACAGACACGAGCACACAGACACGCACACACACACAGACACGAGCACACACGCACACACAGACAGACACGCACACACAAACGCACACACGCACACACACGCACGCGCGTATACACACACGCACAGAGACACACACACAGACACGAGCACACATACGCACCCAGACACGAGCACACACACACACAGACACGAGCACGCACACGCACACACGCACGTACACACGCACACACGCACGTGCACACACACACACACAGACGAGCACACACACACACAGACACGCACGTGCGCACACGCACACATAGACACGAGCACACACACACGGCAAACTCGGTTCACACGCCTATATTTAGGTTATTACTGCCATCTGATATCGTTTCCCATGATAAGTAAAGTGCAGTGTTCCTAGGTAACCACTTCTACATTCTCGGTCTCAACCGAAGGGTTGTTGTCAGCTGTAACTTCCCACTGCAAAAGTGTCCTCCGATCTCTCCCCTTCCTTCCTCTTCCCCCAGCTGCTCTGTCCAGTAGCGACCTCTGACCTCTTGCGATGTCGTCTTACGGCCACCGTCTTTTCCGCTGTCTCCTCCCACTGCTTCTCTTCCCTTCTCATGGTCTGCGCTCCTCAGTTGATTTCGTGTCCCGTCAGCTGGTCCCTTGACGCATGCTGCCCATGTCCGCTCAATCTCTTTCGCTTTAACAGCAGCAGCAGCAGCACCGGTGACCCCCGTTCCTTCCCTCGTTTCTTGGTTCCTCTGTTCCTTCGCCTTTCTCTCTGACTTCTTCTTGACATTTGTGCTCTGAATAAAAGCAATATCGGGAAAATGAGAACAACAACACCCTAGTTACAGGTGAACGGTTCTCCCTGTCAGTGTCTGGAGTGTTGTGTGCGTGCCATCTGGCTCGTGTGGTCCATGTGTGTGTGTGTGTGGTATGTGCTAGGTAATATGTGCATGCCATATGGTGTATGTGTGTGGTGTATATGTAGTGGGGAGCGGTGGTGTAGCGGTTAGCGCGCTGTGCTACGAACCTGGTGACCAGAGTTTAATTCCCGCTCACGGCCAACACCAATGACGATTACCTGAATCCGTCCTGGGCCTCCCCTTGGTCGACTCAGCCTCAAATGAGTACCTGGGGCAGTGTGTAAACATCGCCACTGGGGAGACAAAGGCGGCCGGGTGTGGTGCTGGTCACCCACCCGCTCGTGTGCTGTGTTGGCCTTCATAGGTGCTCGCTAACAGCACTTGCCCCTACAATATGTTAAGGCTACACGGGGGATCTTTGTCTTTGTGTGTACTGTGTGTGTGCCGTGTGTGTACTGTGTGTGCGTACTGTGTGCGTGCGCTGTGTGTGCGTGTACTGTGTGTGTGTGCACTGTGTGTGTGTACTGTGTGCGTGCGCTGTGTGTGTGTGTGTGCCGTGTGTGTGTGTGCCGTGTGTGTGTACTGTGTGTATTGTGTGTGTGTACTGTGTGTGTGTGCACTGTGTGTGTGTACTGTGTCGTGTGCCGCGTGCAGGTATACATGTATGCTGTGTGTGTGTATACTGTGTGTGTGCAGGTATACATGTATGCTGTGTGTGCGCTGTGTGTGTGTGCAGGTATACATGTATGCTGTGTGTGTGCAGGTATACATGTATGCTGTGTGTATCCTGTGTGTGTGCAGGTATACATGTATGCTGTCTGTGTGTATGCTGTGTGTGTGCAGGTATACATGTATGTTGTGTGTGTATGCTGTGTGTATGCTGTGTGTGTGTGCAGGTATACATGTATGCTGTGTGTGTGCTGTGTGTGTGCAGGTATACATGTATGCTGTGTGTGTGTGTATGCTGTGTGTATGCTGTGTGTGTGTGCAGGTATACATGTATGCTGTGTGTGTAGGTATACATGTATGCTGTGTGTGTATGCTGTGTGTGTGTGCAGGTATACATGTATGCTGTGTGTGTGTATGCTGTGTGTGTACAGGTATACATGTATGCTGTGTGTGTGTACAGGTATACATGCATGCTGTGTGTATGTGTACAGGTATACATGTATGCTGTGTGTATGCCGTGCGTGTGTGTACAGGTATACATGTATGCTGTGTGTATGTGTACAGGTATACATGTATGCTGTGTGTATGTGTACAGGTATACATGTATGCTGTGTGTATGTGTACAGGTATACATGTATGCTGTGTGTATGTGTACAGGTATACATGTATGCTGTGTGTATGTGTACAGGTATACATGTATGCTGTGTGTATGTGTACAGGTATACATGTATGCTGTGTGTGTATGTGTACAGGTATACATGCATGCTGTGTGTATGTGTACAGGTATACATGTATGCTGTGTGTATGTGTACAGGTATACATGTATGCTGTGTGTATGTGTACAGGTATACATGTATGCTGTGTGTATGTGTACAGGTATACATGTATGCTGTGTGTATGTGTACAGGTATACATGTATGCTGTGTGTATGTGTACAGGTATACATGTATGCTGTGTGTATGTGTACAGGTATACATGTATGCTGTGTGTGTATGTGTACAGGTATACATGCATGCTGTGTGTATGTGTACAGGTATACATGTATGCTGTGTGTATGTGTACAGGTATACATGTATGCTGTGTGTATGTGTACAGGTATACATGTATGCTGTGTGTATGTGTACAGGTATACATGTATGCTGTGTGTATGTGTACAGGTATACATGTATGCTGTGTGTATGTGTACAGGTATACATGTATGCTGTGTGTATGTGTACAGGTATACATGTATGCTGTGTATGTGTACAGGTATACATGTATGCTGTGTGTATGCCGTGTGTATGCTGTGTATGTGTACAGGTATACATGTATGCTGTGTGTGTACAGATATACATGTATGCTGTGTGTATGTGTACAGGTATACATGTATGCTGTGTGTATGCTGTGTATGTGTACAGGTATACATGTATGCTGTGTGTGTATGTGTACAGGTATACATGTATGCTGTGTGTATGCCGTGTGTATGTGTACAGGTATACATGTATGCTGTGTGTGTGTACAGGTATACATGTATGATGTGTGTATGCCGTGTGTGTGTGTACAGGTATACATGTATGCTGTGTGTGTGTATGTGTACAGGTATACATGTATGCTGTGTATGTGTACAGGTATACATGTATGCTGTGTGTATGCCGTGTGTGTGTGTACAGGTATACATGTATGCTGTATGTATGCCGTGTGTGTGTGTACAGGTATACATGTATGCTGTGTGTATGCCGTGTGTGTGTGTACAGGTATACATGTATGCTGTGTGTATGCTGTGTGTGTGTACAGGTATACATGTATGCTGTGTGTATGCTGTGTGTGTGTACAGGTATACATGTATGCTGTGTGTATGCTGTGTGTGTGTGTACAGGTATACATGTATGCTGTGTGGCACGGTTGGGCTGTGCCAATGTTCCTGCTCTTCGCCATTATTCGACTCTCGCTCAACTACCTCATAGCCAAGTGAGAACCCAAAGACAAAGATCCCCCTTGAGCCCTACGTAGACTGTTGGGGCAAGTACTGTTAGTGAGCACCTCGTGAGCCTGGTGCGGCAGAACCGCGGGTGGTCTGGTTTTACACACCCCACCAGGTACTCGTTAAAAAGGCTGAGGCTATAAACTATTAACTATTTTTATTTTACCCCACTGAGCTATATAGCTCTTTTTAAGAAACGACCTGGCCACAAATGATTGCTCAACGAAGTGACTTATCATCACGTAGAAATTTATAGCAGCTAAAATGCCCTTAAACGCGCGTTTCTAAATCTGGAGGAAAAACCCGGAGGACCTGTAGAAAAATTTACGCCATCACGGAGAGAGGGGCATGCAAACTCCAAATATACACGTCGGGGTCGAACTCATGACCTTCTGTATCACCAGGCGAGGGAGTTAACATCACGCCACCTTGGCATCATCTTGCCACCATGACGAGCCAACCTAGGGCAGGCCCAGAATCGCATCAGATTTCACTCACCACCGATGTGAGCCGTGGCCATGAATTAAGCTGTGATTGCCGGCGTTCGTACCGTAGTGCGATAACCACGACGCAAAAATCCCACCTCTACCCTTAACAGACTGTTGGGGCAAGAGCTGTTAGCGAGTACCTATGAAGGCCGCAAGGCTCAAAAGGGATGTGGGTGGCCAGCACCACGCCTCGCTGCATTGTGTTATATACACTATACCAGGTAGCCATTTAAGGCTGAGTTGACCTTGGGCCGGTCCGGGGCCCGGTTAGTTGCGCAGGGCACTAACCACTACACTACCGCTTCCCCACACGTGCATTTCCATATTCACGAACGTGCTTTCATGCCTTCACATGTGTCCTGTTTGTTAGTTTGTCTTCAGACTTGTTAATGGATTTTTTTCTGTGTGTGCGCGTGTGTGTTCGTGTGTGCATGTGTTCGTGTGTGAGTTCGTGTGTTTGTGTGCGTGCGTGTGTGCGTGTACGTTCGTGTGTGAGTTCGTGTGTTTGTGTGCGTGCGTATGTGCGTGTACGTTCGTGTGCATGTGTTCGTGTATGTTCGCGTGCGTGCGTGTGTGCGCGTGTTTTTGTGTGTGCTGGTGTGCATATGCGTGCGTGTGTCTGCATGTCTGTGCGTGTGTGTGAGCAGGGGCTGGAAAATCCATTGGAGCATCGTCCCCGCACTGGTGATACCTGAAGTGAGCCCCAGCAGCTTGTCACAGAGATGATGGGGAGATGGGGACACTGAGACAGATACATGCACTGTTGGCAAGTGGTACCTGAACAAGTCCTGGGTCATCCGTAGGTCGACTCAGCCTTAAATGAGTACCCGGTGCAATGTATAAACATCAGCATTGGGGAGACAAAGACAGCCGGGCATATGTCCACACCACGCCCTCACGTCTACGTACAGATTCTAATATAGATGTGCCGTGCCGGCTCAATAGGTGCTCGCTAACAGCACTTGCCCCAGCAGTCTGTTAAAGGTTTACACGGGGGGATATTATTGTCGAGTTGCGCTCGTGTGTTTCAGCCCGAGGTGCCGCGGGACGACCTCTCAGTCACGGAGAAGTTCCAGCTGGTCCTGGACGTCGCTCAGAGAGCACAGGTGAGGCTTCCGGCGTCGGGCCGAACGTCGCCGCGGCAACATCGGCACCCCGCGCCTCCCACGACCTGACGGTCACACGCCTTACAGCTGGCCGATTCGATTCGTTCAGAAAATCCACTACCACAGCAGTCCTTCGGTCAGCAGCGCCATCGGTTAACGGTTTTTGTGGTTAACGTTTCATGCCCTCCCATAGCAACCCCATGGTTTCGACAGGCATTATTTTGATTAACGGTAATGCGATTACATCATGCACGTGGGTGACAATTTCGGCCAATCTGAGCGCCCGTAAGTGGGGATGATCCATGCCCTCAGCCAATCAGCGATGCCCATTTATGAGCGTTTAGACCTCGACTGGCCTTGCTTACATTTTAAGTTTTCTGTTTTGGCAGTGGAAACGGCTCTCTTGCAGACTCGGTGATTTGTGCTTATTTAACATGGAATTCCTCTATTCAATTAACAGTTATTTTGGTTTGCAGTAGTTTTCGTGGAACGGATGAAAATCGTTAACCGAGGGACTTCTGTACTCTGTTCAGAAGAAGCTCCGAGCATCATCGTCATCCTCACCATCACGATCCATGGGCAGATGGCCCATAGTAGGTGTCCATCACACGTTTCGTATTTTGTTTCCGCTATCCTCTGTCTTGCACCAATACGCTCAAGCGGTGCCACATCATTCTGGCACCAATCTCTTATGTCGTCAAGCTGTAAGCGCCCAGCACGTGGGGCGAAACGTCGCACCAAACAACACGCGGTCCGACCCGACAACACGTGGGAGAGATGGCAGCACAATAGCGGCAGTCAATCGCTCGCCTAAACAACCGATAGCGCGAAATCTTTTAAAATAATAATTGACCGACTCTGCGTCTACGCGTGCACCCGGACAGGAGGTGATGGCTGGGCGGTGGGGGGGGAGGGCTTGTTGGTATCATCGGCATCGTGACCAACCTCGCCACGCTGGGCATGGCTTGTAGTAGGGGGTTTCCCTCTTTCGGGAGGCAGGTTGTGTCTACGGCAGGGGTGGAAATGGACAGGAATGACCTTGAACACCGTGGTGGTAGTGAAGATTTGGACCCAGAAGACAATCAGGGTCAAATGTATCAGCGAGTAATCTCGGTGTATATCTCCATATATATAAAAGGCAAAGTTGTGAATATGTGTCTGTTCAAAATGTTTAGAGTACTTCCCGACATGCAACTTGCCATGTGGGTACTTTCCAGACTGTACACCATGCAAAAATAATAAAAATACACTTTAGTTTGTTTTTCAGGAGGGGGGAGCTCAATAATCCATTAATTTTTTGCACGGCAAGTGAGCTGTGACGTCAAATCTGTCACGTGATCCTCGCATGTGGAAGCGTAACGCATTGTAGTGTAGTGGTTAGCGCGCTGTGTGTGTGTATCTGTGTGTCTGTGTGTGTGTCTGTGTGTATGTCTGTGTGGAAGCGTAACGCATTGTAGTGTAGTGGTTAGTGCGCTGTGTATGTGTATCTGTGTGTCTGTGTGTGTGTCTGTGTGTATCTGTGTGTGGAAGCGTAACGCATTGTAGTGTAGCGGTTAGCGCGCCGCGCTACGAACCCGGCTACCCGAGTTCGATTCCCGCTCACGGCCACCACCGGTGATGATTATTTTAACTGGTCCTGGGCCTCCCCTAGGTCGACTCAGCCTCAAACGAGTAACTGTTGTGGTGTGAACATCGCCACTGGGGAGACAAAGGCGGCCGGGTGTGGTGAATCCAAGTCCTGGTCAAAGCCGGGTAGTACAGCTAGTAAGTTATATAACTTTAAAGTATCCATCCGTCACGCTCTGGATCTCATGAAAGCTACGTGGGAGGAAAATGAACGTAATACAATTGTGTAAAAGGTCTAGAAATATACTTAACAAATAGGTAACATTGCTTTGTTATTTTCAATGAATGTGCTGACACAGGCACAACTATTTAAACTTACAAGTCAATGCTCATGTCCACCTCCCCCCACCCCTTGCGTTCAGTCTCAGTCGGCACAGCAGTCCAGAACGAGCGATGAGTGGGGGGGGCATTGATGGGCTCCCTCAGTAATTTCTTCCCATTTCCAGCCCTGGCCGGCGTCCGCCTTCTATGAAGTGTCCTGATTAATGGACCACACAAGCAATCGCTCAGTTTTTTTGTCGATTAATCATCATCATCATAACAGACCCAGCTCTCAGTGACGCTTCGAGCACGACGCTGTCTGTGCGTGTGCAGAACCTCTTCGGCAAAGTGGCTGACATTCTTGAGAAGATTAAAAAGTAAGTGGCTCTTCCCTCCTTCCCCCCCCCACCCCATGAACTCAAGACCTCACCTCCACCACCCCGTATAGTCTCACTATGGCGCTGCCCTCCATTGTAAGTTCGGATCAAGTTGAGTTGATTCACGTCGACGGATTCGATGCATGACGTCGCCGTGACAAGGCCCATATATGTACGTATATGTTGAAATTATTTCGCAGCCGTGCGGAGTGGGAATAATAATAACCTCTATTTTATGAGGCGCCTTTCATATTGAGGTGCTGTACATGAAAATACAACTACACTCACAAATAAAGATACAATCTAAGCGAAATAGAAAGCTGATAACAATATCAGAGACGACTCTCGAATTTCCAATCAAATGAACTATGATGAAAGCGAATGATAATAATCATTGCAGAGTAATAAAATAAGATAACAGAATAGTTTTTTTACATATTCAGTCACAGGGATATCCTGCAGTACAAATAGGTGACTTTTAAGACTGTGATTTAAAAAGTGACGCACAGACTCGGAATCCCCGATGGATTCCACAACTGCGGGGGAGCCTGGCCGCAGAAGGCTCCGTGTCTCCTGCAGATCATCATCACAGTCCTGCCTTTGGAATGATGAGTAAAGCAGAATCAGCTGACCTAAGCGTAGCCAACCGTGCTGATCGGTGGTGTGGCCTAGTCTCGTCGGATCCTCGGCGGTTCGGCAGGGTTGGGCCTGTACAGCGGTGGGATGGGCGACCGCCGCTTACAGAGTTCCGGTCGCTGGAGGCTGCTGCGGGGGGGCTACGTTATGGGCAGCAGAGGGCGGCGCCAGAAACACCCATTGCTGTACTCTACTTGTATGGTCCCGCCTTCACCAGCCCTCACTGACCAGTCTGGTGAAGTATAGTCATTTAACCCCCCCCTCCCTCTCGCCGTGATCCAGACTCAGAATCTTTATTTATCCTGGAGCACGGCGAGGCCCTCCATCCAGCAGTGGATTGACAAATGGGCTGTTATTAGCAAGAGCACTCTGTCAAAGCAATAGAGGCCTGGTTATTCATGTTAATTGCCCATAATTCTCAACAACAACAGTAACAACACATAGTGAGTTTGTGTGAATATGAACAGCGCATCCGGACTTCATATCCCAATGTGCACAATCCGCGAGCACCTGTTTCACACGCTGACGCGTGTCCTCTGCGTGTCTCTCACTGTGTCACCTCTGACCGTCGTGTGCATGATTTTGTGACCGGTGTCCATCACCCCGTGGCACTGTCTGTTCCTTTAAGTCTGCTCATGTGGGCCGACCTAGAGGCCACCCGGCAACTCTACCGGGTCCTGTGGATCGCGTTCGTGGCCTCCAGCATCCTGCCCGCACCCCTTCTCTGGACTCTATTCGGTAATGCACGCCGCAACGTACGCACGCACACACACACGCGCGCGTGCATTGGCGTAGCTATCGCGTGTGCAGGCGGTGAAACTGCAGCGGAGCGTATGGGCCAGAGGTCTCCAGATGCCAGGCTACGAAGAGGGGGAGCATACCGGATGGGTAGGGGGCCCCCCGTTTCAATCCTGTTGGGGCAAGTGCGATGAGCGAGAACCCCACACGTTACACCGAGCGATGGCACAGTGGTGAGCTGACCGTGCTGTGTGTGCCCCCATTTTCGCATGTGTTGTGCCCACGTGTTCCCATGCATCTTTCCTGCGTATATTCCCACCCGTCATGCCCCACGTGTTCCCGTGCGTCGTGCCCACGTGTTCCCGTGCGTCGTTCCCATGAGTTACCGTGCATCTTTCCCGCGTATATTCCCACCCGTCGTGCCCACGTGTTCCCCTCTGGTCGTGCCCACTAGTTCACGTGCATTTTACCCTCGTGCTCCCGTGTGTCGCGTCCATGTGTTTCCATCCGTCGTGCCAGCGTGCATCGTACCTGCTTGTCCCCCCCCCCCCCCTTTTCTTTCCATGCGTGCACCCGTACGTGGCAGGGCTTGGCCTGGGCGTGCGCGCATTCCTCGTGGCGCCCGTGTTCCACCGCTTCCCCAGCATCCGGCTCAAGTACGACACGGCGCGGCGCCTTTGGCAGCAGCTCCCCACGGACGCCCAGCGCAACGAGCGCCCTGCTCTCAACACGCGCAGGGTGCGCACGCACGTACACACGCATGCACACACGTACACACGCACGTACACACGCACGTACACACGCGCACGCACAAACTGACGCACGCACAGTTGCGATCAATTCAGTGGCAGATCCAAGGGGGAGAAAATATATTGCATATCTTTTAAAATTATTAATATAGGAGGCCCTAATTGAGAAGACTGACATGTTGCCCCCCACCCCTCCTTGAGAAGTTTATGGATCTGCCTCTGGATCACGGTTATGTGGATCGCTGTAGTGTAGTGGTTTGCGCACTGCACTCTGAACCTGGCAGTCAGAGTTCTATTCCCGCTTACAGTCAACATTCGTGAAAACTTTCTGAACCAGGCCTGGGCAACCCTGAGGTCGACTCTATGTATGGTGCGCATGTATAATTTCCATAAGGATTGGATGGTTGTTGTAAGATTTCTACGTGGTGTGAATATATGGATGTGCAATATTGTTCTTTTATATATCACAGTTGCTGATGACCGGCCCAAAAGCCGCAAACAAACAGCAATATTGAGGGTATAACAGAGAAGAGATTAATACGGTTTTGGAATTGAGGATGGTTATGAGAAATTGTGAAGAGAGAGAGACGATGGTAGGCCTGTACGGTTTCCATGTGGAGTGGGTGTAGAGTTTGTACGTTTGTATGTTGAACTCCTTTCGTGCCGTACATCGTCAACCGTGATGATCGGAGGTGCGGGTGCATCGCCCTCCAACCCTCCGGAACTCACTCCCCACTCATCGTCGTCTCTCATCCAACTTCTCCTCACTAACCCACCTACAAGCCTCGACTTAAAGCTCATCTCGTAATTAGAATATTTCATTCATAATGGAGGAATCCAAAGAGCTATGAAGCTCTTTTTCAGATATCCAGTATGGGCACGGGGCCTCAGAACGTTACAACAACAATGCTAAAATATGTCCAGTAGACATTGATATGACCGACCGTGCTATCCACCCTCCATAGTTCTCGCTTTCCCCCTGCTCGGTGTCCAACACGTACTCTTCCAACTACGCGGCGCTTTCCAAACGTCGGGTTACGTGATTTAGCGGCTTACAGATTAAAGTTGTCATTGTGGTTGTTGTCGTTCTATACGGTGGGGGGGGGAGGTGGGGGTGGGGCGTACGTTTTCGTAATCGGCCGCACGTTGGCGAGAGCTGCCCAACCCCCCCACCCAGCTCATCGTCGCCCTTTGTCCCCCACTCGCAGGGTGGTGGCAGTCACCTGGGCCGCAGCAGCAGCGCCCAGGGCCTCGTGGGTTCAGGCAGCGCCGAGGAGGCGTTGGACCCCCGCCGTCGCTCGTTCCACGCCATCTTCAGCCTCCCCGATTCGGAGCGCCCGCTGCCCGGTACGCGACTTCGGCGTGCGCCGGGGGGAACTCGGCACGGTGGGAGTCGTGCCAGTCTTGGATTCCGGGCTGGGAGTCGTGCCAGTCTTGGATTCCGGGCTGGGATCCGTGGGCGAAGACCTTCGTCCGGCCAGGTCGCTTCTGGGTCAAATAAAGCGCGGCCTGGGTTCTGGGAGTGACAGGAGCGCACGAGCGGTTTGGCGCGACGTGCACCGCTGGGCAGGAAGTGCGGTTTCCCTGGGCACAAGCAGTTCAGGTGCGTGGAGATGGTGACCGTGTCTGTGTCTCCTCTCTCTTCCTCCTCCTTGCCCCCCCCCCCGTCCCACCACCACTGCCCAGTGTGTGAGGGCGGGTGGAGGTGCTGCCTGATCCAGCGGGACCGCAGGATCTCCTCCGACTACATCCGCAGCGGCTTCCTCTACGTCACGCAGAAGTAAGCCAGCGCCTGCACCCATCTACACATACCTTCACCCACCTTCACCCACCTTCACCCACCTTGATCCACCTTCACCCACCTACACCCACCTTCACCCACCTACACCCACCTTCACCCACCTACACCCACCTACACCCACCTTCACCCACCTATACCCACCTTGATCCACCTACACCCACCTATACCCACCTTGATCCACCTACACCCACCTTCACCCACCTTGATCCACCTACACCCACCTTCACCCACCTTCACCCACCTTGATCCACCTTGATCCACCTACACCCACCTACACCCACCTACAGTGAGGGAAAAAAGTATTTGATCCCCTGCTGATTTTGTACGTTTGCCCACTGACAAAGAAATGATCAGTCTTTAATTTTCATGTCAGGTTTATTTGAACAGTGAGAGACAGAATAACAACAACAAAATGCAGAAAAACGCATGTCAAAAATGATATAAATTGATTTGCATTTTAATGAGGGAAATAAGTATTTGACCCCTCTGCAAAACATGACTTAGTACTTGGTGGCAAAACCCTTGTTGGCAATCACAGAGGTCAGACGTTTCTTGTAGTTGGCCACCAGGTTTGCACACATCTCAGGAGGGATTTTGTCCCACTCCTCTTTGCAGATCTTCTCCAAGTCATTAAGGTTTCGAGGCTGACGTTTGGCAACTCGAACCTTCAGCTCCCTCCACAGATTTTCTATGGGATTAAAGTCTGGAGGCTGGCTAGGCCACTCCAGGACCTTAATGTGCTTCTTCTTGAGCCACTCCTTTGTTGCCTTGGCCGTGTGTTTTGGGTCATTGTCATGCTGGAATACCCATCCATGACCTATTTTCAATGCCCTGGCTGAGGGAAGGAGGTTCTCACCCAAGATTTGATGGTACATGGCTCCGTCCATCGTCCCTTTGATGCGGTGAAGTTGTCCTGTCCCCTTAGCAGAAAAACACCCCCAAAGCATAATGTTTCCACCTCCATGTTTGACGGTGGGGATGGTGTTCTTGGGGTCATAGGCAGCATTCCTCCTCCTCCAAACACGGCGAGTTGAGTTGATGCCAAAGAGCTCCATTTTGGTCTCATCTGACCACAACACTTTCACCCAGTTGTCCTCTGAATCATTCAGATGTTCATTGGTAAACTTCAGACGGACATGTATATGTGCTTTCTTGAGCAGGGGGACCTTGCGGGCGCTGCAGGATTTCAGTCCTTCACGGCGTAGTGTGTTACCAATTGTTTTATTGGTGACTATGGTCCCAGTTGCCTTGAGATCATTGACAAGATGCTCCCGTATAGTTCTGGGCTGATTCCTCACCGTTCTCATGATAATTGCAACTCCACGAGGTGAGATTTTGCATGGAGCCCCAGGCCGAGGGAGATTGACAGTTCTTTTGTGTTTCTTCCATTTGCGAATAATCGCACCAACTGTTGTCACCTTCTCACCAAGTTGCTTGGCAATGGTCTTGTAGCCCATTCCAGCCTTGTGTAGGTCTACAATTTTGTCCCTGACATCCTTGGAGAGCTCTTTGGTCTTGGCCATCACGAGGTGAGATTTTGCATGGAGCCCCAGGCCGAGGGAGATTGACAGTTCTTTTGTGTTTCTTCCATTTTCGAATAATCGCACCAACTGTTGTCACCTTCTCACCAAGTTGCTTGGCAATGGTCTTGTAGCCCATTCCAGCCTTGTGTAGGTCTACAATTTTGTCCCTGACATCCTTGGAGAGCTCTTTGGTCTTGGCCATGGAAAGTTTGGAATCTGATTGATTGCTTCTGTGGACAGGTGTCTTTTATACAGTTAACAAGCTGAGATTAGGAGCACTCCCTTTAAGAGTGTGCTCCTAATCTCAGCTCGTTACCTGTTTAAAAGACACCTGGGAGCCAGAAATCTTTCTGATTGAGAGGAGGTCAAATACTCATTTCCCTCATTAAAATGCAAATCAATTTCTAACATTTTTGACATGCGTTTTTCTGGATTTTTTTGTTGTTATCCTGTCTCTCACTGTTAAAATGAACCTACCATTAAAATTATAGACTGATCATTTCTTTGTCAGTGGGCAAACGTACAAAATCAGCAGGGGATCAAATACTTTTTTCCCTCACTGTACACCCACCTACACCCACCTACACCCACCTACACCTACCTACACCCACCTTGAACCGCCTACACACACCTTGAACCACCTACACCCACCTTTACCCACCTACACCCACCTTTACCCACCTACACCCACCTTCACCCACCTTGAACCACCTTCGCCCACCTTGAACCACCTTCACCCACCTTCACCCACCTTCACCCACCTACACCCACCTACAACCACCTTCACCCACCTACACCCACCTTCACCACCTTGAACCACCTTCACCCACCTTGAACCACCTTCACCCACCTTGAACCACCTTCGCCCACTTTCACCCACCTTCACCCACCTACACCCACCTACACCCACCTACACCTACCTTCACCCACCTACACCCACCTTCACCCACCTACACCCACCTTCACCCACCTACACCCACCTTGAACGACCTACACCTACCTTCACCCACCTACACCCACCTACACCCACCTATACCCACCTCGACCCACCTTCACCCACCTACACCCACCTTCACCCACCTACACCCACCTTGAACCACCTTCACCCACCTTCCCTGTTGTTCTAGTTCTGTTCTCATCCTTTACATGAGATGAACTCTCAGTTACAGTTGTATTCGAGTCCATGAACAAAACGCATAGCTTTCATTTCTATTAATTGGAGTTCTCGTAAACGATAGTGATACTGGACGAGTCGCTGTGTGTCCGTTGTTTACCGTGTTCCTTGTGCCAAGATCTGAGCTCATTGTGTTGCGTGTGTCATCTTCTGCAGCTACCTATGCTTTGAAAACACCAGGTCGGTATCTTCCAAAAAGAACAAGGTTATCAGCCTCAAGTCCATCACCGAAGTACAGAAGGTACGGTGCGGTGGTGTCGTGGTTAACGCGCTGCACTACGAACCCGGCAACCCGAGTGCGATTCCCGCTCACGGCCAAAATCGATAACGAATTTCCGAACTGGTCTTGGTCTTCCCATAGGTCGACTCAGCTTCAAATGATTACCTGGTGCGGTGTGTAAACATCGCCACTGGGGAGACAAAGGCGGCCGGGCGTGGTGCTGGCCACCCACGCCCTCGTGTGCCGTGCTGCTCTTCATAGGAGATCACTAACAGCACTTGCCCCAACAGTCTATTAAGACTATACGGGGGATCTTTCTCTTTTGGTGGGGTAGTGGTGCGGTGGGAAGAACGCTACGCTTAAAACCCAACCACCAAAATAAAATTCCCAGCCATGGCTAACATTAGTAACATCTGAACTTGCATTGTACCCCAGCAAACATCGGCACTGTGGATACAAATGCGGCTGCGCATGTTGCTGGTCACATCACCTTCTTGTGCACTGTTATTGTGCATATCAGCACTTGCCCCAACAGTCTATGTTGGCTACATAGGGAGATCGTTGTCTTTGTGTGATGCAGTACAAGGTGCTGTCTATGCTGCCTGGAGCTGGCATGGGCATCTCCATCAAGACCCCGGACACGGTGAAGGTAAGAAGGGGAGTAATATTTTATTGCCACTGGAAGTTCAGCAAAGCACAAAAACAGCACAGTAATGAACACGAAACCAAATCGTATATCAACAGGAAAGCGATATGGCATTAAATGCCAGGTCATGAAAATGACTTTTTTACTTTTTTATAATTTAATGTTGTAAAAAAGTCACATCGTCTCGTGAAAAAATGAATATCACGGCGAGATGTTAACTACCTTGCCTGGTATACAGGAGGTCGTGGGTTCGATCCCGACCCTGACAACGCCTATATATTTGGAGTTTGCATGTCTCTCTCTCCCCGTGGTCGCGTGTATTTTTCTCCGGGTCCTCTGGTTTTCTCCTCCACATTTATAATTGGCCTTCCCCCGCACCTCTGATTAGCACGGTTGGCTACGTAAGGTGCGAAAAAAGTCATACATACGTACGTACGACCCTAGTTTGCACGCTGTGTGTGTCGTGATCGCCCCGTGCGCGCGCAGCCCCTGATCTTTGGAGCCATGGTGCACCGCGACGACGCCTACGACGCCATCATGGAGCAGTACTCGCGGATGGGGCCACCCCCCGCGCCCCCGCCTCCACCCCCGCTGCCCCTCCCACGCGGACCCTCCGCCGCCGGCATTAAATTCGACGGGTCGGCATCGCCGCACACCTTGCCAAAGACTGCTTGTAAAAAGTGACCGTGCATGAGGATGGTGTTTTAAAATACACGTACGATTGTACTCCTTCGTGTGTCGGTGTCATCTGTATCTCCCCCATATCGTTTCCGATTTCATTCGCCAGTTTTATCCCGATTGTGCTTTCGGCGTTGTGTTGTGAGGCAGAGAATCCATTAGGAAATCTCGCATAGAAACCCGATTACAGCGAACAACACGAACAGAACAATCCAAAAACAAGTGTACATGTTCAAGTTCCAAATGGCAAGGCCGTGCATCGACTAGAGAACGGACCATGGAAGAGGATATCACAGAACGACCTCGGAGAGATCCCTTCAAGTGTCCTCGAGTCCACACCAAACTAAACTAGAAACTATTATTAGTTTACCAGGTAAGGCCCATTGAGCTATATAGCTCTTTTTCAGAAGTGACCTGGCCACAAATTATAGCCCAATGAAGTGGCTGATCATGTATAAATATATAGCAGCCAAATACTCTAAACACGTTTCTAAATGTGGAGCGAACAACCGGAGGACGCAAAGAAAAATCCACAAGACGGCTGGGAGAGAGAACATGCAAATTCCAAATGTACAATCGAATCCACGACCACCTGTATACCAGGCGAGGGAGTTAACATCTCGCCACCGCGACCCGGAAAAATACTTCTGAAACCAGCACACCACATCTAGTATACATCTCGCAATGGCTGTAACTGCTCGTCACGTGCCAATAAATGGAATATTTCCATTGAAACCTCCAGCCACCCGAGATCAACATCACCGCTTCATCTCACAGCGCAGGGGCACAGCCACGCTTTGAAATGTTGCGTGCCATGAAGGGCCATTTCTCGAAACGTTGCCTACTGACGAATGTGTTGAGTGCTTTTGGAAGTTGGACTATGTTCTACTTACAATTCCTGGCGGTTACTCCTTTTGATGACATGCAATATTACAAAAAACTTACCCCCTGGGCATGGTAAGCGCCGGGCATGGTAAGCGCCACGCAGCTTCACATTTAATTTAATACACAACTTACAATTTTAATATTATGCAAAGCTATTCCTTTTATGGATGTGTGTGTGCTGACTACTGCATGTGCTTTCTGAATGGTATATTGCGATTGCGTGTTTTTGCTGTGAATATATGCTTCCTGACTGAATTGTGTGTAGTGACAGTGCATGTGTGGACTGTGTGTTAACTGTGATTGTGAGGTCTGTGTGTGTGTGTGTGTTAACTGTGATTGTGTGGTGTGTGTGTTAACTGTGATTGTCTGCTGTGTGTATGTTAACTGTGACTGTGGTCTGTGTGTGTGCGTGGTAACTATGATTGTGTGTGCTGTGTGTGTGCAGACCAGGTTGCTCGCTCACGGCACTTGACCCAACAACCTGTGTATACTTTAGGGGGAATCTTTGTATATTTCTGGTGACCAGGGGCGCAAGTATTGTCTCATCCATTTGTAAACTGTTGGGGGAGGGGTATCTGGACAACCACGACACCCACAGTGGCACCTGTACCTCGAGTTGAGGGTGGCCTAGCTCAAAAACGGAATAATCATTTATACTGGAGGAATCCGATGAGCTATAAAGCTCTTAAATCGTGACTTAAAGCTTTCGTGACTGCAGGAATTCATATTCTTCGGGTCTTTCGGTGAAGTCACGTAGATAGGTTCAAAGAAAATAACAGCAGCCACACTGCGTCCACACTGATGCCACGATGCGACTGCCTGTGTAGTTTCACATAACACGGGTTAAAAAGCAATCAGGTTTCATGCATTATATTTTTAAAAACACCAGAAGTTTCTGAATAAATAATGCAGTGTGTTAGCTCATTGCGCAATGAACACAGCCACCTGAGTTCGATTCCCCGCTAGAGCTGACACCATCAGTGACGAACGATATCTGAACAGGTCTTTCACCAAAAACCCGGCACCAACATGACTAACACTGCATGGGGAGGCGTTCATCCGGCAGTGGATTGCCAACGGCCAGTGAAACATCTTAGCAGCGTTCATTCAAGCTCTGTCGTCCTGACAGTTGTTCTTTCACCTGAAGAAGGCTACTTGTGTTGTGGCCGAAACGTCGTGAGAATTTTGTTGTTTTATTTTATTTTATTATGTTATTCTCATTCTACGTGACTTTACCGAAAGAACCAAAGAAGATGAAACATTAGTTATATATTATTCATACATTCTACCTTGCCCGCAGGACATTGTTTCCACAATCATTGCCCGGTTGGAAAGATTACCTTTAAAACGTCCATGACAAGTTTGGTGAACACCAGGGAACGTGGTTTCGCACGAGTGTGTGATTGAGGTTGTTTTAGGCAGTGTTTGCGTTGCGCATCCTGAGTTGCGGACAATAATCATAACGTTAAAGGTGTAGTGAGTCCAACTGAGTCGCAGACGTTATCTTCGGAGCAACAATATTTATTAACACGAACATAACACAACCTACGCTCGGGTCTCGAATGCCCATCTAACTACGCTGCGGCAGAACGAGACACGGTTCGCTATCCCGGTCCGGACCACAAGCTGGGTCCCGGACCGCGTGGCTAGAGGCTTCTTCTCCCCGACGTGGATCTTCCAACACTTGAAGATCTCCGAGCTCCTAACGGACCTCTCATTATATGCCCCCGGGCTGGGGCTGGCTCCGCCCTTAGCCCCGCCCACCTTCCAGGCTTGTCGGGCTCCCTCTCGAATGTTCCCGAGAGCTCTCCGGGACCACGTGACCACCCCTCGGCCCCCGTCCACCGGTGCCCCCCCCCCCGGTCCAGTATCGTCCGGTCACGTGACAACAGGTCAGCCAGAGTGTCATGCGCCAGGGTAACCCTGGCTGGCTGACGCTCCCCCTCGCCACCTCACTGGGAGCCGGCACCGCACGCTGCTCGCGGTGCCTTGGCGCTCACAAGCGCTCACCCAACCACCGCTAGAGTTGGTACTGCAGCCCGAAACCCGGGCTGCCCGCAATGACATTACCGGCCGTGATTTCACAAGTCCCGGCACCACACAGTGACAAGTACCGTCACTGCAAAGGTGCAGCACATTACGTTAAACATTACTTCCCGGGAGGTGGGTATACTTTAATTCGACTGCACGTGGTATGGAATGCCAGATTCGGCGCTGTTTGGGATGGGAACAGCAATGCGTGCCACTGACCCTCGCTCGCTGAGCATTGCCACGTCTGTGGAAAAAAAAGAGCTTTATAGCTCATCGGATTTCTCCGGGATAAAAAATGATGTACTGCCATCGCCTTGCGTTGCTCGATTAACTGGATTTTATTTGTAAGAGAGCCCTTGGCTCAGTGAGCCTTTGCCCCGGAATGTTTTAAATGCCAGTTATGCAGATTGCAGTGGGGATGTGAACTTAGCGGTGCTGGGGTAAAGTCATTAAACTTGTCACCCACTGCACCACGCATGTGTTGGGGTTGTGTCTGGATGATTCGGGGTGGTTGTGTCGTCGTTGTTTGAAGTGTTACACAGTCAAGGGAGTCTTCACCCCCCTCCCCCACAAAGTATTTTAACACTTTCGATTTAAAGCTTTCGTGACTGCAAGGATTCGTCTTCTTTAGTTCTTTCGGTAAAGTCACGTAGAATGAGAATAAAATAATAAAATAAAACAATAAACTCTCACGACGTTTCGGCCACAACACAAGTAGCCTTCTTCAGGTGAAGAAGGCTACTTGTGTTGTGGCCGAAACGTTTTATTTTATTATTTTATTCTCATTCTACGTGACTTTACCGAAAGAACCAAAGAAGATATTTGAACACTTATCTTTAACATGTAGACAATTATGTGTAGATACTGTGAGGTCGTTAAAATAAATGCTTAGAGAATAAAACATGGAGTGCCCTGGATTAAATTCCTCAACCTTCCGCTTCAAAGCGCAGGCACTGCAATAAAATATATATAGTTTAGTTTTATTAGTATATGTTGTAAGTTATTGTTTTTACCTGTCGTATAATGTGCAACTCCTGTCGTGTGTTTGTACTGTTTGTTGTTGTAACGTTCTAACCCCGTGGCCCCTACTGGAACATCTGTGAACAAGAGCTTTACAGCTCATCGGAATTCCTCCTGTGCTATATAAACAGATTCTGACAAATTTCGATTTAAAGCTTTCGTGACTGCAGGGATTCACATTCTTGGTTCTTTCGGTAAAGTCACGATGAAAGGGAAATAATAAAAATAAAACAATTACATTCTCACGACGTTTCGATTGCAACACAAGCAATCATCATCAGGTGTGAAAACAAATAATTACTGTGGTTTTTCACACCTGATGATGATTGCTTGTGTTGCAATCGAAACGTAGTGATAATTGTATTGTTTTATTTTTATTACTTTATTATTTCCCTTCTACGTGACTTTACCGAAAGAACCAAGAATAAGATTCTGACAACACGGCCAAGTGGCTGAGGACGATGTTAAAACGCGAAACACGTGATGCGTGCCCTTCGTCGCTTGCCGTATTGTTTACGTGGCGACGCCGTAGTGACACCCAATCACTGTTCGTTTTACTCCTCAAGGCGTTCACCTCGGCCAATCAGAGACCGCGTTATTAGTCGCGTTGCCTAGACAACCGCGTGTTGACACCGCGTGACAGCGCTGCATCCATCATCACCAGCTCCTCCATCACCTCGTCTCTCACCACCACCTCCTCCATCACCTCGTCTCTCATCACCACCTCCTCTATCACCTCGTCTCTCACCACCACCTCCATCACCTCGTCTCTCACCACCACCTCCATCACCTCGTCTCTCACCACCACCTCCTCCATCACCTCGTCTCTCACCACCACCTCCTCCATCACCTCGTCTCTCATCACCACCTCCTCTATCACCTCGTCTCTCACCACCACCTCCATCACCTCGTCTCTCACCACCTCCATCACCTCGTCTCTCACCACCACCTCCATCACCTCGTCTCTCACCACCACCTCCATCACCTCGTCTCTCATCACCACCTCCTCTATCACCTCGTCTCTCACCACCTCATCCATCACCTCGTCTCTCACCACCTCCTCTATCACCTCGTCTCTCACCACCACCTCCATCACCTCGTCTCTCACCACCACCTCCATCACCTCGTCTCTCACCACCACCTCCATCACCTCGTTTCTCATCACCACCTCCATCACCTCGTCTCTCATCACCTCCTCCATCACCTCGTCTCTCACCACCTCCTCCATCACCTCGTCTCTCACTACCACCTCCATCACCTTGTCTCTCACCACCTCATCCATCACCTCGTCTCTCACCACCTCCTCTATCACCTCGTCTCTCACCACCACCTCCATCACCTCGTCTCTCACCACCACCTCCATCACCTCGTCTCTCACTTACCACCTCCATCACCTCGTTTCTCATCACCTCCTCCATCACCTCGTCTCTCACCACCACCTCCATCACCTCGTCTCTCATCACCAGCTCCATCACCTCGTCTCTCACCACCACCTCCTCCATCACCTCGTATCTCATCATCACCTCCTTTATCACCTCGTCTCTCGCCACCACCTCCATCACCTTATTTCTCATCACCACCTTCATCACCTCGTCTCTCAGCACCTCCACCTCGTCGCCTCATGTCTTCAGGCCGCCCCTCACGTCGCTCCGCTCCGGGTGAGAAGGAGAGAGCGGTGCGGGTGAAAGGTAAAATGACGAATACCGAACATCAGCGGCCGCGCGGTGGCCATCAAGTGGTAGTGCAGAAGATTATTAAAATAACTCCTTTTTATTTTTTATTTACATTTACACGCTTTTATTTAACTCTGTTGTTGTCGTATCCTCAAATCTTGCAACTCAATTTTAACCCACTTCCTAATGGCGTATCGACTGCAAACTTGGTATACTGATGTCATACTGATGACAATACTATATTCTATAATTCAAAATAAAATAAAAAAAAATTGTTTAAGCAATCTTGTTTATATGTTATGTTTCGGCTTGGGTCTAATTGTCCACGCTCAACTGACGTTGGCTGTAATTCACCACGGTCCCCTTACGTCGTGGCAAGCTTCGGGGCCACTTCCTGGAGTCGTGGAGTTCTTCCATTACTAGTACGGTACATTTCATTAAAGCCTGTTTAAAAAAAAAGTATTTCTTTATATTACTTTTGTGTGTTTATTTTTGTTGTCCTTCCCAGCACCTCCGAGTAGCACGGTTGGCTACGTGCGGTGCGAAAGAAGTTCAACATACATAGAATCACACAGAGCCCATAGACTCACAGAGACCCATAGACTCACACAGAGACCCATAGACTCACGCAGACACCCATAGACTCACACAGAGACCCATAGACTCACACAGAGACCCATAGACTCACACAGAGGCCCATAAACTCACACATACACCCATAGACTCACACAGAGACCCATAGACTCACACAGAGGCCCATAGACTCACAGAGACCCATAGACTCACACAGAGGCCCATAGACTCACACAGAGGCCCATAGACTCACACATACACCCATAGACTCACACAGAGACCCATAGACTCACACAGAGGCCCGTAGACTCACACAGAGGCCTGTAGACTCACACAGAGGCCCATAGACTCACACAGAGGCCTCAGACTCACACTGAGGCCCATAGACTCACACAGAGGCCCATAGACTCACACAGAGGCCCATAGACTTACAGAGACCCAAAGACTCACACAGAGGCCCATAGACTCACACAGAGACCCATAGACTCACACAGAGACCCATATACTCACACAGAGACCCATAGACTCACACAGAGGCCCATAGACTCACAGAGACCCATAGACTCACACAGAGGCCCATAAACTCACACAGAGACACATAGACTCACACAGAGGCCCATAGACTTACAGAGACCCATAGACTCACACAGAGGCCCATAGACTCACACAGAGACCCATAGACTCACACAGAGACCCATATACTCACACAGAGGCCCATAGACTCACACAGAGGCCCATAGACTCACAGAGACCCATAGACTCACACAGAGGCCCATAAACTCACACAGAGACACATAGACTCACACAGAGGCCCATAGACTCACACAGAGGCCCATAGACTCACACAGAGGCCCATAGACTCACACAGAGACTCATAGACTCACACAGAGGCCCATAGACTCACACATACACCCATAGACTCACACAGAGACCCATAGACTCACACAGAGGCCCATAGACTCACACAGAGATCCATAGACTCACACAGAGACCCATAGACTCACACAGAGACCTATAGAATCACAGAGACCCATAGACTCCAGAGACCCATAGGCTCACACAGAGGCCCATAGACTCACACAGAGGCCCATAGACTCACAGAGACCCATAGACTCACACAGAGGCCCATAGACTCACACAGAGGCCCATAGACTCACACATACACCCATAGACTCACACAGAGACCCATAGACTCACACAGAGACCCATAGACTCACACAGAGACCCATAGACTCACACATACACCCATAGACTCACACAGAGACTCATAGACTCACACAGAGACGCATAGACTCGCACATACACCCATAGACTCACACAGAGACCCATAGACTCACACAGAGACCCATAGACTCACACAGAGACCCATAGACTCACACATACACCCATAGACTCACACAGAGACCCATAGACTCACACAGAGACCCATAGATTCACACAGACACCCATAGACTCACACAGAGACCCATAGACTCACACAGAGGCTCATAGACTCACACAGAGACCCATAGACTCACACAGAGGCCCATAGACTCACACAAAGGCCCATAGACTCACACAGAGACCCATAGACTCCAGAGACCCATAGGCTCACACAGAGACCCATAGGCTCACACAGAGGCTCATAGACTCACAGAGACCCATAGACTCACACAGAGACCCATAGACTCACACAGAGGCCCATAGACTCACACATACACCCATAGACTCACACAGAGACCCATAGACTCACACAGAGACCCATAGACTCACACAGGGACCCATAGACTCACACATACACCCATAGACTCACACAGAGACCCATAGACTCACACAGAGACCCATAGACTCACACAGAGACCCATAGACTCACACAGAGACCCATAGACTCACACAGAGGCTCATAGACTCACACAGAGACCCATAGACTCACACAGAGGCCCATAGACTCACACAAAGGCCCATAGACTCACACAGAGACCCATAGACTCCAGAGACCCATAGGCTCACACAGAGACCCATAGGCTCACACAGAGGCCCATAGACTCACAGAGACCCATAGACTCACACAGAGACCCATAGACTCACACAGAGGCCCATAGACTCACACATACACCCATAGACTCACACAGAGACCCATAGACTCACACAGAGACCCATAGACTCACACAGAGACCCATAGACTCACACATACACCCATAGACTCACACAGAGACCCATAGACTCACACAGAGACCCATAGACTCACACAGAGACCAATAGACTCACACAGAGACCCATAGACTCACACAGAGACCCATAGACTCACACAGAGACCCATAGACTCACACAGAGACCCATAGACTCACACAGACACCCATAGACTCACACAGAGGCCCATAGATTCACACAGAGGCCCATAGACTCACACAGAGACCCATAGACTCACACAGAGACCCATAGCCTCACACAGAGACCCATAGACTCACACAGAGGCCCATAGACTCACACAGAGACACATAGACTCACACAGAGGCCCATAGACTCACACAGCGACCCATAGACTCACACAGAGACCCATAGACTCACACAGAGGCCCATAGACTCACACAGAGACACATAGACTCACACAGAAGCCCATAGACTCACACAGAGACCCATAGACTCACACAGAGACCCATAGACTCACACAGAGGCCCATAGACTCACACAGAGACCCATAGACTCACACAGAGACCCATAATTTGTTGTCCTTCTCCCAGCACCTCCGATTAGTTACGATTGGCTATGTACGATTAAATCATGTTTTTGTTCTTGGGTAGTAAGTGTTATTTTCCAATTGCTTATGCCTCAAAGGTACAGAAAATTGCTATTATTCCCCACAAACTTTGCTTTTGTGACCAGGACAGTGATATTTAGAAATTCACCTATTTTCAATGAGAAAACGTGGTGTGCATTTGTGTCATTCCTTGGTCACAAAAGCAAAGTTTGTGGGGAATAATAGCAATTTTCTATACTTTTGAGGCATAAGCAATTAGAAAATAACACTGACTACCCAGGAACAAAAATCGTGTTACATAGTGTTATTGAATCCATCTGTACGTAGCATTGAGCGTCACCCACGTCCCACCGTCGTTGTGCACGGTGGGGTTTATCCAGCTTCTCCAGTCTCCTTCCACATTTAGCCATATTGTCAATGGCGCTTTCCTGGCTAAAGGGCATCATTAGTAAAATGCATCATTTTTTCCGTACTTTTATGCAAACCCACGTCGATGATTCCAGCCTTCACCGACCCCCACACCCACCAGCGTGGGGAAACACTAATCGGTCAAATAGCCCCATACGACACGTAAAACCACTGGACATCTGTGAAAAAGAGCTTTATAGCTCATTGGATTCCTCCTCCAGGATAAATAGATATTCTGATTCTGACCAAGGCCGATGGTGATTTTTCATGGTCCCCCCGGACCTCCCCCGCCCCTCTGATCCGCCACTCATCAAAAATTCATTAAGTTGCAAGTCAAGGGGTGGAAATATTTTCCGGAGGTCAGCCCCGGACAGCTCCGGCTGAAATGAAACCCTGCTTGTATACGCGTGTGCCCGCGCGTGTGTGCATATTGTGGGGAGCGGTAGCGGTTAGCCGCGCTGAGCTACAAACACGGCGACCCGATTTCGGTTCCAGCTCACGGCTACCACCAGCGACGATTATTTTAATTGGTCCTGGGCGTCTCCTAGGTTGACTCAGGCTCAAAATCATCGCCTCTGGGACAACAGACAAAGGCGATTGGGCGAGGTAGTTCTGGCCACTCATCCCCATGCGTACCATACCCCCCTTCATAGCTGCTGCTCGCTGACAGCACTTGCCCGAACAGTCTGTTACAGCTATCCAGTGTGGGGGGATCTTTGTCTCCGTGTGCGTTTGCCTACGCAGCGGGCGGCACAGGAGCGCCTTCTCCCCGAGGGAACCCGTTCCGAATCCCGCCAGACGTGGACGTCCTGCAGCTGCGGGCTCGCGAGAGGGAACGCGCGAACCAGGTGATGATGGCACCGCGCGTCTCACCCAGCAGGATGGGATCGTAAATGATCTGGTCGCATTGGGATACGTAAATTGACCACAACCGGACGGGATCGTAATTGAGCCCCAACCGGATGGGATTGTAAAATTACCCCAACCGGGTGTAATCATGAATTAATCCAACCGGATGGTATCGTTAATTGACTCCAACCGGATTGGATCGTAAAATGGCTCCAACCGGGATTGATCGTAAATTGACCCAACTGGATGGTATCGTAAATTGACTCCAACCAGATTGAATCGTGAATTGACTCCAACCGGTTTGGATCGTAACTTGACCCCAACCGGATGGAATCGTAAATTGACGCCAACCAGATGGGATCGTAAATTGACCCCAACCTGACCCCAACTGGAGGGGATTGTAAATTGACCCCAATCGGAGGGGATCATAAATTTACTCCAACCAGATGGGATCATAAATTGACCCCAACCGGGGGGGATCGTAAATTGACCCCAACCTGACCCCAACTGGAGGGGATCGTAAATTGGCCCCAACCGGAGGGGATCGTAAATTGACCCTAACCGGATGGGATCATAAATTGACCCCAACCTGACCCCAACTGGAGGGGATCGTAAATTGACCCCACCTGGATGGGATTGTAAATTTGACAATGGGGATGGGACCATAAATGGCCCGACCAGATGAGGTTGTAATTTACACAATCAGATGCGATTATAAATTACCCAAACAGGTGAGGTTATCTGACCTGACCCATCCCGACCTGACTTGACCCAACCTAACCCGTGCCAATCAAGCAGCCGTAACCATGCAAAACTAAGTGAACATAATGGACTGTCTTTTTTCAACAAGTAGAAAGTTATACTCCACCTCTTGGCAGGTAATAACAGTGTGTTGAAAATCTGTAGTGCATACAAGTTGCACTGAACTGGTTTACATCAGCCCTTTTTTTCCAAGGGAGTGATTTTTGTTTCTGCGCATGTAAAAAGGGCTGCTGTACACAAGTAGGGGGTACAGCTGGTACATCTGCCAGTCATCTCAGTCAGTCAACCCATGGCACCACCTGGGTCTGTCCCGTGACCTCTGTCAGCAAGCCTTCGATACTACACTTGGCCTCAAAGTGCACCTAGCTTGGCACAGGCGCTGTGGTGATGAATGGCAGGTATTGGCATTGCAGTTAAGTGCACCGGTACTGTAGTTAAGTGCACCGGTACTGTATGTACTACAGCTTTTCAATTTACTGTACTGTATTGCCCACCAAGAGGTGGAGTATAACTTGCTTACGTGTTGAAAATACAGTCCATTATGTGTACTTAGTTTTGCATGGTTTACATGGTCATAGATTGTTGGGGCAGTTTCACAAATTAGGAAGCACAATCAATGTTTTCTAAATGGCCCTGAAAATACATGCGGGGTGTCACTGTGAAGGCGATTGAAGTTTGAGAAAATGTATTTTTACAGCGAGTCAGTGTTTTAACATGTGTTGTACACAACATCTGAATGCACCATCACCACCATCCCAGCATGCATGAAATATTCAGTTCATTGGAGTGTGTCTGACACCGCGGTATTTTACGAGCATTTCTCCCTCATCAACAACGGTGGACACTTTATTTCTACGTTAATCAAAGTCATAATTTGCTGACGTACCAACACCCAAAGTAAAAAAAAAGGCAATCCGTGATCACACGAATGATTACCCACATCTGTACAGGGTTTGTTATCCGTCATCAAAAACAGAGCTCACGTGACGCCACGGCCACCAGCACTCTCATCGGCCATCATGGTCACATGTAATCAAGCCACTGCTAGATGAAGGTCCCCCACATGCTGTAGTTAGGTTCGTTCAATGACTCGTCATGCTTCACGCATTATCTTTGCTCCTGTTTCGTCCTGTGCCATCTGCCTGTGACTCTATCGCCACCTGACATCTTGCCTCGCGATACATTCTACCCCGTGTTTTTCACCCTGTGCACGTCTCTATTCTTAGACCTATCCTTAAATCTCCCCCTAACTCTAAACCTGTTTCGTTTTGTTTCCAAATTTAAACTTGTCCATAACCTTAACCGCGTGTCTAAAGCAAGGCTGTAGCCATGAAGTCAACATTGGGGGGGACCAAATCTTCCAGGGGGCCTGGGGGTCCACCCCAAGAAAAAAATATAAATTTGGAAACTCATTTCCTGCCATTTCCTGCCTAAAATATTTAAAAATTGACTAACACATGGGATTGACTTTTCATAGATTTTTTTTTTTACAATAATGTCTAAGAGTGTATTGTATTACATTGCTCTGTTTTTACTTTCTTACCTTTTCTTGTTTCATTGTATGTGATGGCAGAGATTAGGGATTCATAAAGTACAACCATAGCCACAATCATATAAACAGAAATCTATGCATTGTTATATGAAGACAAATCCAGATATTGTGGCCAAGGTTTAGCAAATTGTTGTTTTTATTTACATAGCATCGCAATGATTATTTTAAAATATTTTTTAATAGCAATATATTGGGGGGATGTGTCCCACCCAATATATATTATAATTACAGCCTTGGTCTAAAGCTAACCCTTCCTCTAACCCAGGGGTTGGGAACCTATGGCTCGCGAGCCAGATGTGGCTCTTTTGATGATTGCATATGGCTCGCAGATAAAACAAAATATTCTCACTTGTTTTAATCCATCCATCGATTTTTCACTGCGCATGTCCTGTTCAGGGCTGCAGGAGCAATTGTCCATTATTTTAATTGGATGATACTGGCCTACGTTTGCCGTTGCTGGGTAAAACAGGTAAACGCCCCCTTTTGAATCAGTCTGAGACTGCGTCTGCTCGGTCATTAGCTCAAAGCTAACCCTTCGACGAAGAAGATGGCGAAAAGAAAAAAAGACGACGAGTATCGTACATATCAGGACGAATGGACCGAAGAATTCGCCTTTGTGGAGAGAGCGGGTTCTGCGGTGTGTCTAATTTGCAATGACAAAATTACATCGTTGAAACGGTCGAATGTAAAGCGGCACTTCGACACGCGCCACGCTACCTTTGCATCAAAATACCCTGCGGGAGACAGCAGAAAGAAAGCGTGCCAAGAGCTTCTGAGCAGGGTGCAAGCTAGCCAGCAGCAACTCCGCGTATGGACCCGGCAAGGTGACTATAATTCGGCTAGCTTTGCTGGTTCTTTAGCAATAGTGAGGAACGGAAAACCATTCACAGATGGCGAGTATGCTAAAACGTTCATGCTGGATGTAGCCAATGAACTTTTTGATGATCTTCCGAACAAAGACAAGATAATCAAACGGATACAAGACATGCCTCTGTCGGCAAGAACTGTTCATGATCGTACCATCGTGATGGCAAACAAAGTGGAGGAAACGCAAGTGAAGGACATAAATGCAGCACCGTTCTTTTCTCTGGCTTTGGATGAGTCAACAGACGTGAGCCATTTGTCGCAGTTCAGCGTGATTGCAAGATATGCTGTTGGTGACACACTGCGCGAAGAAAGTCTTGCTGTTCTGCCATTAAAAGGGTCCACAAGAGGTGAGGATTTATTCAAGTCTTTCATGGAGTTTGCTCAAGAAAAAAGTCTACCTATGGATAAACTTCTCTCAGTGTGTACTGATGGTGCTCCGTGTATGGTGGGGAAAAACAAAGCATTTGTGGCGCTTCTCCGTGAACATGAAAATAGACCCATCCTAAGTTTCCATTGCATTATACACCAGGAGGCACTTTGTGCTCAGATGTGTGACAGGCAGTTTGGCGAAGTGATGTCGCTGGTCATTCGTGTGATCAACTTTATTGTTGCCCGAGCCTTAAATGATCGCCAGTTTAAAACACTACTGGATGAAGTTGTAAATAACTATCCTGGTCTGCTTTTGCACAGCAATGTGCGTTGGTTGTCAAGAGGGAAGGTGCTTAGCCGTTTTGCGGCTTGCCTGAACGAAATCCGGACTTTCCTTGAAATGAAAGGCATCGGGCATCCTGAGCTAGCCGACACCGAGTGGCTCCTCAAGTTTTACTATCTCGTAGATCTGACTGAACATCTGAACCAGCTCAACGTGAAAATGCAAGGCATTGGAAATACAGTGTTATCCCTTCAACAAGCTGTATTTGCTTTTGAAAACAAGCTGGAGCTTTTCATCACGGATCTTGAAACAGGTCGTTTACTACATTTTGAAAAACTGAGCCAATTTAAAGATGCATGCACAGCAAGTGAGCCCATTCAAAACCTTGATCTCCACCAGCTAGCTGGCTGCACATCCAGTCTCCTACAGTCCTTCAAAGCACGCTTTGGAGAATTTCGTGAGCACACTCGTCTTTTTAAGTTCATCACCCATCCAAACGAGTGTTCACTGAACACAGCCGACCTGAATTACATCCCTGGTGTCTCCGTCAGAGATTTTGAAGCAGAAGTGGCTGACCTGAAGGCCTCAGACATGTGGGTGAATAAGTTCAAGTCACTGAATGAAGATTTGGAAAGAATCACACGACAGAAAGCGGAGTTGGCGAGCAAGCACATGTGGACAGAAATGAAAAAACTCCAACCCGAAGACCAGCTGATTCTCAAAACTTGGAACGCGCTTCCTGTCACATACCACACACTGCAGCGTGTGAGTATTGCTGTATTGACCATGTTTGGATCTACGTATGCATGTGAGCAGTCATTCTCACATCTTAAAAACATCAAGTCCAACCTACGATCACGTTTAACGGATGAAAGCCTCAACGCTTGCATGAAGCTTAACCTCACCAAGTACCAACCCGACTACAAAGACATCAGCAAATCCATGCAGCACCAGAAGTCGCATTAATGGTGAGTGTTATAACAACATTATTTAAAAGAATAAATTCAGAGGCTTATTATACTGACATTTAGTTGAATTCACTTTTAAAATATATTATATGGCTCTCACTGAAATGAATTTCCAAATTTTTTGCTTTCATGGCTCTCTTAGTCAAAAAGGTTCCCGACCCCTGCTCTAACCATAACTGTGATTAACCATAATCATGTATTGCTGCATGATAGACTCTTGGTGGCGTTTTGGTCAAAGGGGTTGTTTGACTATACCTTACCATGCTGATCAGCATGGATTTGTGGAGCTGGAGATGGTGGGGTGTTTGGTAAATCTAACCTGTCTCTAACCCTGTCTCTTACCTTGTTTTTAACCCGGACCCTCTCCGTAATTCGAACCCTGTCTCTAACCCTAACTTTGTCTCTGTCCCTAACTCTATCTCTAAACCGAACTCCGCTCCTAACCCAATCTCTCACCCGAACTCTGCCCCAAACCCGGGTCTCTAGCCCTAAACCGTGTCCCAAATTCTATCTCTAAACCTAACCCTGCCCCTAACCCTATCTCTAAAAACCTCAACCTGCCCATAAGCCTCTCCATAAATCTAACCCTGCCCCTTAACTCCCGTCTCTAAACATAACCCTGCTCCAATCCCGGCTGCGTGAACTCATGGCGTGCAGGAACGCGAGAACGCCCGCGGGCTTCGCGTGCAGGACAAGAGCACATTCGCGAGCCGCGTGCGCGCAAACCAAGCCCGGAGCCGGCACGGGGGCCCCCTTCACGACGCGGGGGAGGAGGAGGAGGAGGGGGACGATGCTGAGCAGGGGTCCAAGCTGCAAAAGGGGTCCGGAGCTTCCAGCCTCGGCAAGGACCCCGCGTGGACCCTGGCGCTCACGAGGGGTGCGTGACGATCCGTGAATGTTTTCTGCCCGTGAAATGATTCATTCCACCTTTCTCGAATTGTATGAATCGTCACAATTGATGGATCGCCACTGGTTTTTAGACAGTATAAACGTTTTGGCGAATGGTAGCGCCTATAGTGGTAGTAGTGGTGATGTGAACTCACTCTGTACTCCACCTCTGGATGTATGAATGTTGAACTTGTTTCGCACCGCATGTAACCAACCGTGCTTATTGGAAGTGCCGGGGAAGGACAACAAAGTAAACACAAAAAGCATTTCTAAAGAAATGAGTTTTTAATCGAGATAAACAAAATATTGCTTTCCACTTATGATAGCCATAGCTGGGAAATTATTGCATAACTTTGGATGATAGAAAAGTTATGTGCCTGGGCTTGTTCTCGAATTTTTCATCTCAGAGCTGGAATTATGCCAAATTAAGTGAGATTTCAACTTTGACATGATGGGGTTGTTGTGTGTGTGCTGTCATTGTTGTCCCAGTTGAGATTGTGAACTCGCTACACTTTACAACCCAGTTCAGTCAGGGAAGATTGGAACCCGGCTTTGAATCCAGGATCTCAGCAGTGTTGGCAGGGCGCCGTGGTGGCGAGATGTTAACTACCTCGCCTGGTATATAGGTGGTCGTGGGTTCGATCCCGACCCTGACACCTGCATATTTGGAGTTTGTATGTTCTCTCCGTGGTCGCGTGGATTTTTCTCCGCGTCCTCCGTTTTTTCCCTCCACATTTAGAAACATGCGCTAGTATTTGGCTGCTATACATTTCCATGTGACAAGCCACTTCATTGAGCTATCATTTTGTGGCCAGGTCGCTTCTGAAAAAGAGCTATATAGCCCAGTGGGTCTTACCTGGTAAACAAGTATAATAAACTAATTCTAACTTGCTCTCTCTCATCCTCCCTTGGTCACCCTGTCAAGGAAATTCCCTCCTCTGTAGATAGTTTTGAATGCCTGACCACTTTCTCATATTTCCCTCATTCTTTAGGCATAACTCGTTATTGAATATAATTCTTTTTGTAAAAAAAATGTCGGCTGCCTGTTTCACGTGCGTGTCAATGTAAGGTCATTCTTACCTCACCCTTGTCATGTTGAGCCCCCTTTCTTTTTTTCAAGTCACGCCTCGTGTGTTTTGACAACACGCAGTGTGGCCTGGGGACAGCAAGGTCACACCGTGTGTGTCGCAGTAACCTCCCATGTTTTCGCTGGCAGTGTGTGTGTATGTGGGTCGAGGTGGCGAAGGAGTTAGCGCACTACACTACGGAACCCAGCAAACTGAGTTCACATCCCAGCCATGGCTGTCAGTTGGCGAGCGATATCCGAACCAGTCCTGGGTCTCCTCTAGGTCGACCCAGCCTTAAATGAGTACATGGTGCAGTGAGTGAACGTCAGCATTGAGGAGACAAAGGCAGCCAGGCGTGATGCTGGTTAGTACTCACGGAACTTGCCCCATCAGTCTATGAAAGGCTATTTGGGAATCTTTGTGTTGTACGTTAACTCTGCGAGTTGGGATTGTACCCTTTGGTTCTTTCGGTAAAGTCACGTAGGTATAAAATAAAATAAATTACATCACGACGTTTTGATTGCAACAAAAGCAATCATCATCGAAACGTCGTGATTTAATTTATTTTATTTTATACCCACGTGACTTTACCGAAAGAACCAAAGAGTGTGGATCCCTGCGGCCACGGAAACTTCAAATCTAGTTGGGATTGTGTTGTGACTGGTGTAATCGTGTGTGTTCGTACAGATCGCCAGGTGGAGAAAGAGGGGCTCTCTGAATTTGTCTCCCGCAAGCGAGAGATGTTCCTTGTGCAGGTAAAGTTCAATGGCCAACATGCCGGTGCTGGACTTCTCGCTCACACACACAAACGAGACTGTCTCGCTCCGGCCCGTTATCTGGTACTATTCCGACTATTCCTGAACCCAACAAAATGTACGCGTGTGCACACATGCATTGAAATCGTATGCAAAAGAGCTTTATAGCTCATCGGATTCCTCCACTAAATATAGAGATTCTGAAAATACACGATTCAATGTCTGTACCCTGAATGCGAAAATCGCTTTTAATTGATAAATCCCGCTGAATCGTCGTGCGCATGCTGTGCGTGCCGTGCACAGTACGGCCTGAGCGTGAAGCGCGAGGAGATGCGCGCCCTGGAGCAGCAGGGAGCGCGCGAGGAGCGAGCGCTTGAGCAAGCGGAGCGCTTTCTGGAGGACGACGCGGCCATGTTCGATGAGTTCCTCAAGCAGAACGATCGCAGCGCCGTGGAGGCCATCAGGGTGTTAGCGTTCGCACCGCATCGGCACTGCACTTGCGCAGCACCGGTACCGCACCGGTACCGCATCGGCACCGCACCAGTACCGTACTGGCACCGCACTGGCACTGCACCGGCACCGCACTGGCGCAGCACCGCCACCATACTGACGCAGCACCGGCACCGTGCTGATACCACACCGGCACTGACCGGCACCATACTGGTACCGTACCGGCGCAGCATTGGCGCAGGACCGGCGCAGGCCCGACAACGCACCGGCACCACACCATTCCCATGGTAATATTACAGCAGCATAGCAATGCAAATCATGACACCAGCAAGACACAATCACCACACGATTACTACGACATCATCACGCCATTGCCACAGTAGTATCACACCATTATCACACCAACGCTGCACCGGCACCACACCATCACCACACAATTACCACACCAGCACTGCACCATTATCTCACCGGCACCACACGTGCAAGAACCATCATTGCACAATCTCCACACCGGTGCCTTACCAATACCACGTTACCACCACGTTACCTGCTAGACTCACCTGCAGCATTGCCCAGCGTGACTCAACAAGTCCCAAGTCGGGGTGGCTGATGTGCCGCGTGGTTTGTGTGCGTGTTCATTGGCGCGCCGTGCTCCAGAGCGGAGATGGAGATGAAGGCGCGGATGGAGCAGGTGGCTGAGATTAAGAAGCTGACGGCCCAGATCGTGTCCGCCAAGAGGTGAGGCCTGTGTTCCGCTCTGCAGTGCGCTTGTCAGCGACATTGTATTCGGCCAGGGGTGGGCAACGTATGGCTCTGTGGCCTCGTTTCCCATGGCCCACGGCTTCATTTCACACAGCCCGTGGCTTCAATTAACACAGCCCGCACGATCATTTCATATGGCCTGTGGCTTCATTTCACACAGCCCACAACTTCGTTTTTGTTTTGTGGCCCATGGTCTCTTGAGTCTTACCAAGAGCTTAATTTCAGCCGGGTGTCTCCACGTCAGTGAAATCGGAAAATAATATCCGCACATGGCACACTACCATCAAGTATACCTCTCTTCATGGCTGGCTGCTCATCACGTGCCACCTACTCCAACTAACCAGCAGCATCAAAATTACTCGGTGAGAATATTAGGCCAGTGACTATTACTTCGAGACTATCACTTAGATATGGCCTGCAATTATATTTATCCATCGCTGTCAGCATCAGAGCCACACAAATTGGGTACTGGAGGGGAATATTTGCAAATTGCCAGCACTGTTTCTAATTCGAACGAACTCGGTCACTTATATCACTGCAGGTGCCTCTTTGCAGAGAGCGATGTCTGAGGTGTGTATGCTCCTGTGCGGGCGCGTGGCTGATTCGCGCTTCGTGCTGCATTGTTCAGTGAGATCGCACGGCAGGAGGATCTGCTGCAGGAGTACCGATTGTATAAGCGCTTCCTGGAGGGGCTGGCGCCACCGGAGTGGCACCAGCGGCGGCGTGAGCGCAAGCGGGCGGCACGAGCGATCGCAGCACCCGGGGAGGGAGCAGTGGAAACGGAGGGAACCTCCCCATGCAGTGAGACACGGCAAATAGGACGGCCACCCATCCTGAGCTCTCACGCTAAGCCCCCCTGTTCTGTGACCTGCACGTGTGTGCCTCTCACTGTTTCAACATTCGTGTTTGCAGGAAAGCCCAGCGGAGTCTGAAGATTGTTCTGCTGGAGGGTTGCGCTACATTGTAATGTTTTGCCAATTTAGTTTTTTAAGAGAGTTGGGATTCACGTGGGAGGAAATCGGAGTTCCAGATTAAAATCCAGAATGTTTGTGAGGATAATGCTGAAGAGTTTGCACGGACAATAACAGCCCTAATTTCAATTTATATAGCATCTAAATACAACCACATCTCAATATGTTTACAAGTGTGATCATGACATGAAGGTAAAAGGATTGGGATGTGGTCAGGCCAGGGAAACCTGTGAAAGAAGAGAGCAACACCACAGGACAGTCCGTACCTCCGATTAGCACGATTGGATACGTACGGTGTAAAAGAAGTTCAACATACATACAGCCAAGGCTGAAACAACTGTGGCCCAGCATCAACAACACCCAACAATCCCCAGGGAAAGCCAGGGCAGCACCAACGAGTCTTAAGGCATCCTCAGGGAGCTGGGGTCCGGGGTGATTCACCAATCATTCTCAGGGACAGCCAAGGTCGCACTGACAAATTCCATTCCAGGGCAGCCCCGGCAACAAACCAAGAAAGGAGGCATGGGGAACAAGAACGCTGAGGAATGGTCAGGCAAGGGTCAGGAGGAAGTTTGTGTCAGTTCAGTCAAGCTATGGGGAGCAATGAAGACAAATTAGGTCGGGGAAAAGCCCGTAAAACAAGGAGGCAGAGGGGATACGTGGGGAAGGTTTGTGTTGGACAGCAGCAACATCACCACCAATATACAGCCACGTCCACCCAAGTGGAGGTCAAGAGAGAGGCACAGCTCTAAGGCGGTCAACCTTGCCGCCACCACCAGACGGGTTCACAAACCCCAACTTCTGTCGTGCCAACTTCTGGCCACCTGCTCTAAATCGCAGTGGTGATGGTGCACCGCTGTGGCCAATTCAACATTTACCATTGTGGGTGCACTACAATGATGTGTGTGTATGATCACTGGTGACTGCATCATGAGGGTGATTGTGCGTGCAATTCCTGCAGAGCCAGAGAACAGCAAAGGAGACGGAGGCAGCTCTAACGCCTCCCAGGACAACTCTGACGACAGTGAGGGGGTGAGTGAGGCATCTCCATCCCTTGCTAAGTCAATGGTTAGTTCACCACTTACACTGGTAATTTCACTCAGTCGTTCACTGAATAGATATCCGACAAGTAAATGGTTCGTTTATTTATTAGTCCACTAAACAGATCACTGACTAGTTCACTGCAGGTTAAAGGTACCAAGTGTCCCGGTTTGGCCAGAACAGTCCTGGTTTTAAAAAGTATTTTCCTAAATGTTCTGGCCTCATGCTCGACTCATGATACAGACAAACGGTGGAGCTACCTGAGCAGTGAATGGAGCTACCTGAGCAGTGAATGGGGCTACCGGAGTAGTGGGCAGGTAAACCTGTGAAGTGGGTCGGGCTCTCTGAGCAGTGGGTGGGGCTACTTGTGTTAGTGGGAAGGGCTACCCAGGTTGTGGGCGGCGCTACCTGAGTAGTAGGCGGGGCTACCTGGCTAGTGGGCAGGGCTACCTGATGAGTGAGTAGGGCTACATGTGCAGTGGGCGGGGCTATCAGAGGGGTGGGCAGGGCCTATGAGTGAATCAGAAAGAGCCAATCCCCTCATTGTGTGGATGGGGATACTCTTTGTTTTTATTCGGTAAAGTCACGTAGGTATGGATCCTTGCAGTCACGAAAGCTTCAAATCTAGAATGGATGGGGATAGTGATTGGGTGTGGCTATGTAAAAGTGCATAGGGCTGTCATCTCTCGATATGCCCCAGTTTAGCCTCCCTTGAATTAATGTGCCATCGTTTCACTTCCATACTAATCATGGATGCTGGCGTGTGTAATGGTGAGCAATTTACTTTTCTAGAGGTTACCAGTTCCTTCTTGCGGTGCAGCAGTTGTAAACACCCCACACATCTGTCCTCCCACCATTATAAATGGCTACACCACAGGTATTATGTGGTTGAAGAATAGGCCACATACCCTTTAAATTTCCCTCTAGTGGAGGCCCTGCCACCAGCAGTGGCATGAGTAGGCAATTTCAGGGCTGCTCATTTACTTTTATCGTCCAATTCAGTCTTGGAGAATCGTCATGAGCTGGATTGCTCCTCTGCTGGCCGGGCCATTATGCGGCCTGGCGAGATGTTAACGCCCTTGCCTGGTATACAGGAGGTTGTGGGTTCAATCCCGACCCTGACCCCCTGCTGTATGTTTGGAGTTTGCATGTTCTGCCCTGTGGTCTTGTGGATTTTTATCCAGGTCCTTCGGTTTTTCCCTCCACATTTAGAAACGTGTTTAAAGCATTTGGCTGCTATAAATTTCCAAGTGATAAGCCACTTCATTGAGCTATCATTAGTGGCCAGGTCGCTTTATGAAAAATAACTACTTAGCTCAGTGGGGCCTTACCTGGTGGTGAAAAATATATCTAAATGTGGATGCCGTTGTTCACTCAGGAGTTTGAGCTGCCTCTCAGCAGCCCCCAGGAGCTGCTGGACCTGTTCACGGAGCTGGAGGAGCAGAACCTCTCCCTGATCCAGAACTCCCAGGACATGGAGCAGTCCCTCGAAGAGGCACGCCAGAACATCGCCAGCACGAACCAGCGGCTGTGAGTTCAGATGCTTGCATACAGCACCGAGTATTCGTTTAAGGCTGAGTTGACCCAGGGGAGGTCCAGGACAGGATCGCATAACACATGCCACTCATGTTCTGCATCATGGTCAAGCATGAGAACGTGGCCACTCGGATAGGAGCTGAATTCACGCAAGAAAATATGCAAACTTCTGCACAAAGCACAGACAAATATCCCCCATATAGCTTACATATACTGCTGGGACAAGTGAAATTAGTTTGCACCTATTGAGGCTGGAACGATGCACAAGTAAGTGGTGTGGCCATTGTTTAGACCGCACCAGGTACTTGTTTCAGGCTGAGTTGACCTTGAAAGGCCCAAGACCTGTTCAGATATTGACAAGGTTTGATATTCTTTGGGTCTTTCGGTAAAGTCACGTAGATAGGTTCAAAGAAAATAACACAAAACTACGACGTTTCGATCGCAACACAAGCGGTCATCATCAGGAAAAGGTAAACTGTTTAAAAAGATCCAGGTTCGATTTAACACAGTACATCAAATTCGTGATCTGATCCCATCTGTGAAGGATGTGATCCCTGTCATGCAATACCCCTGCGTCTACAAACTAAGCTGTATCTGCGGCAGTAGTTACATAGGGGAAACTAAGCGACATGTTTCGGACCGTGTTCGTGAACATAAGGCAGATCTGAAACACGGTAGGACCAATACCTCGGTCGTGGCTGATCGTTGTTTTAATGCGGTGGGCTCACACAAAATTAATTTCTCTATAATGAAGGTACTTTGCAAACCCACTGGCTATCAACAAAGATTCGTTCACGAAGCCATCTACATATACAGACACAATTTCAACCGAGAAGATGGGTACAAATTGAGCAATCATTGGAAGGACATTATCAACCAGTTTAAGTCATAACTGGCTATGATTTTCCGATCCTACCACCTTCCGATGTTAGTTGTTCATTAACAAGTTCACACTAACACAGCTACTTCGCGCGCCACCTTAGAGGTTGTTGCTCTGCGATCTGACATTAACATGTTAATCTCTCACATTAACATAGCCACCTCAGCACGCGTGCCATGGAGGCTGCTCACCGATCTTACATTAACATGCTAATTTTCACCTGGCAGCCCTTTGATTGGTAGAAAACCAACCACCATCGTGGTTGCTGCCCACCACCTACATTAACAATAGCTGCTGACATTTGGGCTACACTCATTTCAAACCTTTGTAGTGTCGTTGGTATGAGTACCGTTGTGTAGAGACAGTACCGTGTGGGTGCTACTGTAGGGGCGGAGCCTCTTCCCAGACACCGCATGGGCATACCAGGGGAGGCTGGGTAAACAGGAAGGGGCACGTGACCGGATGTGGTGCGGACGGCGGGGGACCAGGGTTGAGGAACATGTGAGGTGGGTCCTGAACCCTCACGAAGGATCGGGAAAAGAGGCGTGGCCAAGGGTGGGACCTGGCCACGCCGTAAGGATAAAAGCCGAGCCCCATGGGGGGGCCGGGGTTGGTCCTGGGAAGAAGAAACCATCGTGGGTCGGCGGGTCTTGAGGTCTCCGGGCGTCGCGCACTTGGACCAGGCAGCGTGTTGGCTAACCTGGTCCGATTTGTAGTTGCCCATCCAGAATGTACATAGCCATCTACTCCAAGTCTACATAGCTAAGTGTAGGAATGGTGGGTTACCAACTTATGTTGTTGTTCCGTTAAGGGTTATGTTGGTTAATAAACTGTGTTTCCTCCAAGCCTTAGTGTGCACCGTGATTGGACCAACTACACCTTTATCAACAGTTAGCCTTTAGAAGCTAACCCCCTTTTCCTGATGACGACCGCTTGTGTTGCGATCGAAACGTCGTAGTTTTTTGTTATTTTCTTTTAACCTATTTATGTGACTTTACCGAAAGACCCAAAGCATATGAATTCCTGCAGTCACGAAAGATTTAAGTCAAAGTTTGATAGCATTGCTCTCTGCTATGAAGACGGGCCATTGCCTGAAATATAACCTATTCTATATTTTTTATGTGTCGAGTTATTGTCTCCAAAGCGCTGGATCACAGGTGCGCTCCCCACCACCACACACACACACACGTGTGTGTGTGTGTGTGGTGGTAGTGGTTAGCGCGCTGTGCTACGAACCTGGCAACCCAAGTTCGATTCCCGCTCACGACCAAGACAAGTGCAACCACACACCACCATAGAACCACACACCACCATAGAACCACACACCACAAAATACAATCCCACACCACAAAATATAATCCCACACCACAAAGTACAATCCCACACCACTACATACAACCACACAATACTACAATCATCCAACACCACGTACAACCACACACTACTGCGTATGATCACACTATTGTGAACCAGTCCTGGGTCTCTCTTAGGCTGACTCAGCCTCAAATTAGTACCTGATGCTATGTGGAAATCATCACCACTTGGAAGACAAATGCGGCCAGGCATGGTGCTGGCGACCCACCCCCTGGTGTGCCGTATCAGCCTTTTATGTATGTAGAACTTATTTTGCACTGTACGTAGCCAACCATGCTAATCGGAGGTGCGGCCTTCATAGGTGCTCGCTAACAGTGCTTGCCCCAACAGTCTGCTAAGGCTATAGAGGGGATGTGTGGTCATGCTCGACGTTCCAGGAACAAAGAGACAGAGACCCTCAATATCCAAGTGCAGGAGCTGCGTGCCGCCATCGCTCGCGAGGAGGAGAGGGCGTCCGACCTGGAGCTCCGGGCCAACGTGTTCTCCCTCGGCGAGCTCCGCCAGGAAGAGCAGGTGAGCAGCCCCGACCGCTGGCCCAAGCCCTCGCTCACCATCACCACGCCTCCTACCCCACCCAACTCACTCTCCTCGCACCTCCACCATCGCCAACTACTCCCGTGGCCCTGTGTTTTGGTCGCCATGTCTCCTGGTATCTGTGTCCCTGTCTCCGTGTACATGTTCTGTTTTTCTAAGTGTTTTGGTCTCTGTATGTTCTTGTGTCGAAGTTTCCTGGCGTCTGTGTGTCCTGGTCTCCTTGTGTCCTGGTGTCAAAGTGTCTTGGTCTTTATATGTTTGTGTGTCTAAGTGACCTGGTCTCTGTATGTTCTTGTGTCTAAGTGTCCCTACCTATTTGTTTCCTGACCGCTCTGCCTCTTTGGTGTCTAAGCGTCCTGGTCTCTATGCATCCCAGTGTTTAAGTGCCCTGGTCTCCGTGTGTCATGGTGTCTAGGTTCCCAGGTCTCTGTGTTCCCTGGTCTCCTTGGTTCCTTGTCTTTACAGGGTCCTCGTATCCGTACGTGCTGCCCTCCGTCCGCGCGCCCCGCTAGCCACGCATTGTCCTCATCTCCGCTCGCGCCCTCCGCTTCGACCGCCGCAGGAACAAGTGCTGGAGGCACTCAGCGCCAAGGTGTGCGCCGTGTACCGGGCATGTGTGGGCACCAGCGAGGGGAATCTGGGAACACTGCAGATGCTCACGAGCGTGGAGAACCGCCTCGAGGAGCTGCTGGTGGAGCTGGAGGGGATGCCACCGGAGCGGGTGCACAGTGCCGAGCGTGCCAAGCACAAGGAGCGACGCTTGCGGTGAGACTCTACCCCTACTGTTACTATTTTACCAGGTAAGGCCCCACTGAGCTATGTGCAGCTCTTTTTCAGAAGCGACCTGGCCACAAATGATAGCTTAACGAAATGGCTCGTCATGTAGAAATTTACCGCGGACAAATACTCTAAGCGCACGTTTCTAAGTATGGAAGGAAAAACCAGAGAGACGGAGAAAAATCCAGACGATCACAGGGAGAACGTGCAAACTCCAAATATAGAGCAGGCGTCAGGGTCGAGATCGAACCCACGACCTCCTGCATACCAGGCGAGGTAGTTAACATCCCCCACCGCGGTGCCCCTCCTCTCTTCCTTCTCTTCTCCTTTCCCTTCCAGCCATTACTCCGGCTGCCGATGCATGCTACGTACGTAGCACCAGGCCATCTGATTATTTATGTAATCGCTCACGCTCTCAATAATCGGTTCAATTACGTTGTGATCGTGTACGACAGTGTGTATGATCACACCTGGTGGTGTGTGATCATATGGAGTGGTGTGTGGCTGTACATGGTGTTATGTGATTGTAATGTTATGTGGTTGTATCTGGTGATGTGGAGTTGGTGGTGCATCTACTAGTCATCTCAGTCAGTCAACCCATAGCACCTGTGTCTGTCCCGTGACCTCCTTTCAGTGAGCTTTCAATACTTAACGTAGCCTCAAAGTTCACCTGGCCTGGCTCAAGTGCCGTGGTGACGTCATCGCTACTTAGTGGTGAATGGTGGCTGTTGTTGTTGGTGGTGGTATGTGGTTGCAGTATGCGGGAGGAGAAGGCCCGGCAGCAGAAGCAGCACCAGGAGGAGCGACTGCGCCGGGCGCTGGAGCGAGCGCAGGCTGAGATCACACATCGGGTACCGTGCTTACACCGAAGACACACACCACACTCACCGCGTACACACCACACGCATGCCGTACTCACACCGCACTCACAACGCACACATATCGCACTCACACTACACAGATACATCACACTCACCAGACTCACACCGCATACACACCACACGCATGCCGTACTCACACCGCACTCACAATGCACACACATCGCACTCACACCACACATCACACTGACCAGACTCACACCGCATACACACCACACACATGCCGCACTCATACTGCACACACCGTACTCACAACGCACACACATTGCACTCACCAGACTCACACCGCACTCACACCAGATACCACGCAGACATATCACACTCATCACACTCACACCACACTCACCGCACACACACCACACTCACCGCACACACATCACACTCACCGCAGACACACCACACTCACCGCATACACATCACATACAAATCGCACTCACGCCGCACACACACTGCCGCACACACTGAACTACTACATACACACGCTCACAAACTACAGTATCATACCACGCGTACATACACCCCGCTTGAACACACACGTGCACACAAACGGTGACACTCCTTTACGAGAGAAATGGATTCTTGGTCACCGGACGCCTGCAGCACGTTGGTGATAAAACTTGTTTAATAGAACAAAAATGTTAAACATCTGAAATATCACCTCCCAGCCTCCATCTCCCCATCCCTAACCCCGTTGCATCATTGTAGCGCTGCCTATGCTATATATGTACACAAGTTTTGATTTAAAGCTTTCGTGACTGCAGTAATTCATATTCTTAGTTTTTTCGGTAAAGTCACTAAGAATATGTACACAAGTTGTTCCGGTAACTACTGTGGCTGCCAATGTATGGCAGTACGATAATGCATCGTACGATATAAGAACGACAATAACACATTGTCCACTTTGCTACGTATCGTCGTAATTATTTGACAACCACCTACCCTATTCTTAGTTTTTTCGGTAAAGTCACGTTGAAGAGAAACAACAAAATAACAAAATATATATAAAACAACAAAAAATTCTCACGACGTTTCGTGAGAATCATCAGGTGTGATGACCGTTTGAGTTATGGTCGAAACGTCGTGATAATTTTTTGTTGTTTTATATATATTTTGTTATTTTGTTGTTTCTCTTCAACGTGACTTTACCGAAAAAACTAAGAATATGAATGACTGCAGTCACGAAAGCTTTAAATCAAAATTTAACCACCTACCCATCAACCGAGACCTCCACAATGTTCCTCGCTGCTGACTCAAGTCCCGATCCCCCGTCTGAGATCGCGCTTTCACCATCCTAAAATCTCGCCCCAAATCCGGAAAAACCCTTGCGAACAGAGTGGTGCAAAGCGGACGTCCAGAATAAACACCTCATTCGGGAACCAAACAAAGCACCTCTCCTGGCTTTGACATTCCTCCTCCTTGATAGACACCGGTGGTGTAACCATCAACCGCATCAGAACATCACCACCAGGCCGACGCACACAGCTCCTTCATAGATGGAAATTTAAAGGCAAGCCACAGTCATGCTATCGTGGCCATGCAACCCAAAGTGTGGAACATAGAGTAAACTACTGTTAGTCTGCGCTCCTTCCACGGAGGAGGTGGAATAGCAAAGCTACACAAACTCTCTCTGCTGAAGCCATCTCATGGTTCGTAGACCTTAACATTGGCATTTAATTCCTGAACCCATTGCCATCATGCACACGCACAGTTCAGAATATCGTCATATCGTTGTCCGTTCATTTTTCATTTCCTGATGAAATATTTAGGAATCAGCGATGATTAAAGTTCACAGTATTAAAGTTCTAATATTATAGTTATTGCATTACACTTTTAAACTCCTTTTTTGTTTTCTTAAACGAGTAATTGATGGGATGGCGATGTTGTGACATTATCGCGTTCTGACAGCACGTGCACGTTATAAGCATGATATCGATTTCAAGATTACAATGATTAGAAGACTTGCGACACGGTTATGGTGAGTGAGCTGAGGTCAAATTACTTTTAATCACTTTTTATTTCTATTCAAATTCCATCACAGGACAAAAAAAAAGCAGACGATAACATTGTGCTATACAATTACAAAGCTGCGGGAAGCAGGGTATCGCGGTGACCATCGCAACGTGAAACTCGATAGCGCGCGTTATCTGTCACGTCAAAACGATATCGCGGGAACGCCGGCGATCGGCGACCCCGCGTGCGTTGGCGTTCGCAGACGGGGCGCCGGCTGGTGTTCCGCTCGGAGCCTCCCGCGCGCCGCACCCATAAGGAGCGCGGTCAGGAGAGCAGCGAGAGGGAGCAGGAGGAGGCCCGCTATTTCTTCAGCTGAAGATTCACGACGACACGTCAGCTCGCGTGCAGGTGCCGGGCGGACTCTCACGTCGCGCGATCGCGAGAGGTTTGAAGGAGGCCTTCATCCAGCATCGGATTGACCGTGACTGGTGATGAAGATGAATCTTCTAGCCCGGTGCAGCCGTGCGACGGCCCTACACAGCGCCGCCTCTGTGCCGCATGTGGTTGGCTGTGTGTCATCAGCCCCATAGTGGGGGGGGTGGGGAGTTGTAAAGGGCTGACACCCTCCCCCTGGTGAAGCATCGGGCCGCCCTCCTGAATTAATATCGTCATCATCATTCCATACCTTTGTATTGAAGTGTCCCAATGCGACCTAGTGTGTTCTCATTCAGAAGTTATTCTCTATATACATGGACTCCACTTATACGAGTTTATGACTTAGTTTAACACGTAGGCTTTCGCGACCAATATCATCCATAATAGAGGTTTTTTGGGTTAGATCGTGTAAATATATAAATGTGTCGTGAAAACCCGCCACCACCCGACACAGCCAACTAGTAAGGGCTGTCACGCAAACAGAACAAACTGAGTACGACGTTTCGCCAGTAATTACGTCGCCAGTAATTACTGTAATGTTGTGGCTTGGCTCTCCAACACACCGGTGTGCTGTACTAGTGACGAATTGGCCACGTTCTGTTTACGTGACAACCTTTACTAGTTGGCCGTGTTGGGTGGTGGCGGGTTTTAACGACACTTTTATATATTTACACGATCTAACCCAAAAACTTATATTATGGATGTTTATGACTTGTCAGGGGCTTATAATTTGCATGAACTTATAGCAATATGCGAGTTAAGATGAGTTGTGTAACTCTGCCTGAAGTACTTGTGAATTCAAACACTTTGTTGCGTTTGATTCCTTGCAGAGATAAAAAAAAGATTCTCATCGTTAAGTCAAAATATGTTCGTACAATATTTAACAGGAGTGGCGGGTTTTTTTCAGAGTTCACTGATTCTGAGAACGCCCATAACCATTTAAAATGTGCCTGTGTGCATCTGCTTCACCGCCGTGCATAAGTATACAACTCACCCATAGGTGTGTGCCGGAATACCGCTGCATAGTTTTACGCGGTTGTGCTGTCAAGCTATCGCGTTGGACTGCTTGTTGTTGGGCATGATGTCCGACGTTTCGTTGCACGTGCCAGGAACTTTTAAATCAATGCAGATCCAACAGCAGAGGGCAAGCGACTGCATACATAGCCCTCAATTCATTTTCTGAAGGTCTCAGCATGTGGTCCGAAACATAGGACGTCAAGATACAACCCGAAAAAACGCATCAAAGGGCTGCCGTGTTTGAAATAGCTTGCCCTCTGCTAGTACATCGCCCTTCCAAACGACAGAAGCATTCACGATATAATTAGAGATGATTGCACCATACAACCCGAGTAGAATTCACGGATCGACACAAGCAAAAATGTTGTTGCTCTGTCCGTTCAGCGTTTTAACATTTGTTAAAAGTTTGTTTAACGTTGACTGTGCGGTCCTCCATCCTCGCCCCCCCTCCCCGTTTCTACAGGGCTGCTGCTGCTGTGTGTGTCCATCAACTCACACGCGCTTGCTTACTCATGCAAAGCTGCCTGCGTGCCATATAATTAAAAAAGAATAAAAAAATGCCTCTCTATCGACACCACCTTTTGACATCTTGAATGTTGCTTTTAAAAGCACAGTGATGATGTGTGCAAAGTCCTCATCATCACCATCCACTCTGGGTTTCTACACGGGTGGGAGGTGGGGGCGGGGGCAAGAGGAAGGTTAAATCATGGCTTGAAGCAGCCCTCACGCGTGAGAATACCCGTCGAAATTTCTCAAACCACTTTGGTGATGCGGATTTGATATTTCTCTCACGCTGGCAGAAGTCGGTCATTATCCTGTATCTGGACGTATTGGCGGTACACCAGTGCAGCAAAACAACACCGGTCCTCATAAAACCGTCTACCAACTAAATTTGAACTGACGTTCGTCTTCCGGCTGCTACGACATCGCGAGAACTGATTTTGACTCGCACCGCCCTGCAAGATTTTCTGACCGGGGTTGCGAATCGCGGGTAAATTTCAGTTTTCAGTTTAATTTATTTGGAATAACCCTGTGAGCCATTCGGCTCTTGATTCGGGTACAACCGCAACAACCAATAAAATTACAAGATACATTTAACATTTACTGTACGCAAATGTAAACATCCCCTACAAAAACAATAAAGCCTTCCAGAAAAAGCACCATTTGTTTATGCTGCGTACAAAAATGTGCAAAAAAATAGATAAATTCCATTTGGTAAATAAATAAATAATGCGTCAATTTGCCTTTTTTTGTTATACCGCATACCGCCGCATATGCAAAGCAGAATACACGGTTCACGTGCACGAGGAAGACCAAGGATGACATGGATAGATAACATCAAAGCATGGACGAGGCTCACGCTGGAACAAGCAATGAGGAGGACCAGAAGACAGAAGTCATTGGTGAAGGATTGCCCATGGTGCGGCTAAAAACCCTCGGATCGAGGTGGGCTGAACACAAGAGACAATTACCGATGTACTGCCAATACGTTCATTTAAGCAGAAGATGAAGTCAACCCAACGAGACACAAGAAACAATACCTCTTTCGGTAACACCATTAAGCAGACAATACGCTACCACATAAATAATAAAAGTAGATTTTTTCTTACATACCATTAGCCATACGGCCCTCGGGGAGCGTGTAATTTTAACAGCGTTGTTTCGACACAAGCGAATTCCGGACTGGTTTTGACATTCGGCGTCTCAACAGCCGTCAGACTTGCTTGCAAGGTGCCACTTCGAAGACATAGTCACGTGAATCGAGATAAGGATGTCAGAAAGTAAACATAGTTGAGTCTGGGTAGTGCTTCGATGGGTGACAAACAGGTTGACAAACAGGTGGACAAACAGGTTGTCACAGAGTTTGCGGGGCTATGTGGTGGGTAATGTAGCAGTTCGCGCGCTGATTTTCGTAACCTGGTCACCCGAGTTCGATTCCCGCTCACGGTCACCGACACTGTTGACGATTATCTGAACCGGTCCTGGGCCTCCCCTAGGTTGACTCAGCCTCAAATGAGTACCCGGCGCGGTGTGTAAACATCGCCACTGGGAAGACAAAGGCGGTCGGGCGTGGCGATGGCCACCCACCCCCTCGTGTACCATTCCGGCCTTCATAGGTGCTCGCTAACAGCACTTGCCCCTACAGTCTGTTAAGGCTATACGGGGGATCTTTGTGTGTGTGGCAAGTGGTAGTTTAGCGGTTAGCGTGATAAACCTGGTACCTCGGTTCGATTCCCGCTCAAGGCCAACACCAGTGACGATTATCCGAACCCGTCCCAGGCCTCCCCTAGTTCGACTCAGACTCAAATGAGTACTTAATTCGGTATGTAAACATCGCCACCGGGGCGACAATGCCAGTCGGGCGTGGTGCTGTCCACCCACCCCCTCATGTATCGTGCCGGCCTTCATAGGTGCTCACGAACAGCACTTTCCCCGAAAGTCTGTTAAAGCTATACGGGGGATCTTTGTCTAAGGGCTACATCGTGGGCAGCAGAGGAGACTGGCTGCAACGTGCATCGTTATTTTTTACTGTACTGTACTCATATGCTTCAAAATCTATGCTCCCCCATCCCACATCTCCAACCGGCGCTGCTCAACGTGTGAGCAAATACCACTCACTGATTAGCACCTCCGATTAGCACGGCTGCCTGCATACGGTGCGAAGGAAGGTCAAAAACACACACATCACTGCCTGTGCGGAACCGGGAGGTCTTCACCCATCAGTAGATGAGCAGAGATATATTGGGTACACATGTCAAGTGTCAAATGTGAGCGTCTCACAGCCCCTGCAGCTGCTGCTGCTGCTGCTACAGCGCCGGACCGGCAGCTGCTGACGGTGGTGCAGGTCTCGTGTAATGCTCCGCTCCACGAATTGTCTTTGCTCACAGCCTTTCGACGAGAAGGACAGCAGTAAACTAAAAACCACCCTCCAAAATTATTATATTTACCATGGCGGGCGGGAGGGGGGGGGAGTCACCAAATAGCGACATTAACCACCTACTTCTGCCACGAAAACTCTTTGATCCAAAAGTGGACTCGTCCTTCCCAGCGTGACACTTACACTTTTCTGTGCCTCATTTTCCTAGGGGTTTTTTTAAAATCTCAGTTTATTGGGTTTCCCTCTTGGGTTCTTAGGGGTTTATCTCCGTTTTTTGGGGTTTCTCTCTCAGGTCTTACAGTTGTGAGCCCTTTGGGGGTTGACGTGCACGCCAGAGGGCTGTAAATTATAATTGATTTGGATTTGAAGCTTTCGTGACTGCAGCAATCCAAACACTTTGGTTATTTCGGTAAAGTCACGTAGGTAGAAAATAAAATAGATTACGACGTTTCGATCGCAACACAAGCGACCATCATCAGGTGAGACAATCACAGCAGGAAAACTGCTGAAAATGTTTTTCAGAAGAATTTTCAGCAGTTTCCCTGCTGTGATTGTCTCACCTGATGATGGTCGCTTGTGTTGCGATCGAAACGTCGTGATCTATTATTTTCTACCTACGTAACTTTACCGAAAGAACCAAAGCGTATGATTAATTTGTTATTGTTTGTAAACTCGAATGTGCTGTGAACCACTGCAACCGGCACTCGTGAAATGTAATGGGCAAGGGTTCGAAGCAGCTTTTAAAGCGCTTACCGAATGGCAGGTGTGTGTTCAAGCCGGGGTCATCAAATGAGGTGACACAAATTTTCTGGGGTAGGAATCTGCTTCCTCGGGTGCAGCGTTTCTGAAACTATTTTGGCCCCGCGTGCCACTCGGCCAATGCAAACATTTCCGTGAACTCCCCCCCCCCCCCTCCCACACACACCTACGCCTGGTGACAAGCCAGTAATTCAAAAATAATTATTCATATTACCCCTTGTAACATTAAACATGTTGTTTTTAAAACGCAGCTACAAGGGTATTTTTTAGGCAGGGGGGGGGGGGGGCATTTTGATCTTAGGTTTATGGTAGGTTAATCAGAGTAGTTTACCGAACTTCATTTTTCAATTAAATACCATGAGTAACATATGAATTCGTGTACGAAACAGAAGGTACGAACATTGGCATTATTGTCCGGGTCAGCATTTGCATCACAGCCCCGCGGAGCACCTGGAGAACCGTCGCAGACCACCGCTGGGACCGGGGTCCACACTTTGAGAACCACTGCTCTAAGGGCAAACATGTTTTAGCACGTGTAGTTCCGATTATCGGGATTGTTTGGCCATACTTCACCACGATGGTCCGTGCGGGTTGATGAAGGGGGGTTGGGGGGGGAGAGAGAGAGACAAAGGCCGCTTGGGAAATCGCTCATCGCGGAATTTAAGGGGTGCAGTGCGCTAACCGTAGCGCCACCACTCCACCCACGGTGATTCAAATTGCCGTGGTTCTATGGAGGTTTCTCGAGTGTCTCCGAACGGGCGCGACTAAGACGACTTCGTGTAGTAGTATTAGCCTTTGTCTCCC